CTGGAAGTGGCGCTGTGGCTCAAGTGGTAGAGCGCTCGCCTTGAGCTGAAGAGCTGAGGGACAGCGCCCAGGCCCAGAGTTCAGGCCCCACGACCAGCAAAAAAAAAAAGAAAAGAAAAAGAAAAGAAAGCCAGGGTTTCCATTCAGGAGTTGATTTCTCTCCCTCCTCTAAAGGCCAAAGTACAGCTCAGGGCAGGACTCTGGGTTCTGACAGATGCCATGGCAAGCAGCAACACAACCTCACCCAGTGTTGAACTGTATGGGAGGGAAGATAAGCTGCCGATATTAACAGCAGCTGGATCTTGATGGCCTACACAGCCAGCTATGTGCAGAGACTCGTAGGTAGGACATCTGGGATGGAGAGACACACCATTGTAATGTGCCAGAGTAGTAAAGTGCCTGTGGCCTCTCCAGAGCTGCCTTCCTGACACTGCTCCACAGGGACCCAGAGTCACAGAGACCAGGATTCACGTTTTGGCTCTGTCACTGACAGGCTGTTGTGATCTCATACAGGATTCTTTGACTCTCTGTTCTCCCATGTATAAACTGAGAACGATGCTTGTAACTACTTTAGGGTGAAGACAGAATTAAATGAGTTAAGCTGGAAAAAAAAAGTGCTTAACCCAACATGTAACAGATATTCAATACAGACTTTTTCTTTCTTTGAAGACATTTTTCCCTTGTTTTCTTTCTTTGCAATTCCCCCATTCACTTAGACAAAGGAAGTAATGCCTTACCTGAAGTTATGATGAAGCTGTAAGTTGGGAGTAGAAGAGGTAGCCTGGTTCATTGTGCCGATGATGTAAGGGCTGGGGGAGGGGGAATACAAGAAGAGGAAGAAGTCTGTGGTATCTGTGGGTCCATGCAGATGATCAGCTAGTTGCTTCCCTTCCCCAGCCAACCTGGGACACCTGCATGCCAAGCATCCCCACACACCTTCCCCATCAGCCAGTGCCATACCCCTAGGTCCCACCCTTACCATTTATGGTACTTGCAGTTGAGTAGCCCATTGAAGATCTCTCCAAGAGAACTGACATGATGTAGGTTGTCAAGGATGATGATGAGGGGCATGTCCACAGCATTGTTCTCGCTATTGCACTGATCGGCAAGGTTGGACAGGTACTGGCGCAATTCCTGTAGTGTATAGGAAAGGTCAGGAAAGAGCAAGCTGTGAGCACACCCCCAGTAAGATGCACTCGCTCAGCCCTCCATTTGCCCAATCAGGACGCTTCACAGTGCTGCGCTGTGAACACACCTGCCTGTAGCTACAGGATATCGGCTTAGTGCTCCGGGGATGATGGGTGGGCCTGCATGCTTCCTCCTGGCAGTTACTGGATAACCGTCAAAGATGCCGTTTTAAGTTCCCATTTCACTACTTCTCGAGGAAAGTGTCACCTTTATTCACTTTTTATTTTTTAATGGTGATGTATTGCATATATTAATTGTACAAGGGGGTTTTGGTGTCTTTTCCATAATCAATGTGCCCTGATCATACTTATCCCTTCCATCTTTTCCCCTCATCCACCCTCCTCATTTCTTAAAACCGTTTCAATAGGCTTCATTGCTCTTTTGATATTTATTATGCAAACCCCCAATAGGCCCCTGAAAGGTACCCTGGGTGCCTTCTCCACCTCTGTACCTCCACAGCACCTGCCTGGGAGCTATGAAAACATTATGGAGGGCTCACATCAATGTAGCAGAAGTCCCCCCTCACACACAGGCGATGAGTGCCACAGCAGAAACCACAAGAGTGCAGGGGGTGATGGGTCTACATGCACTGAGGCTGGGGGGGGGTAGTCCTTAGAAGGTCTTGTGGAAAGGGCAGGCTTTCACAATGGGTGGGGCATTGACACAGCTGGGACTAGAACACAGCCCAGTGAGCATGGGGAAGGAATGTGTGTCAGGAAAGGAATTGGGAGAGCAAAGGTGCAGTGAAGCAAAAGGACTCGTGGGCACACAGGACTGATAACATTTTCCCAGCTGTAGCTGGTATTACTTGGAGCACTCACACACATGGACTTCTGTAACCCAGTAACCCTGTGAGGGAGGTATTGTCATTAGCTCTATTTTAAAGATGGAAATGCTGCTTGCACATCAAAGTCAGATGACTGACCTGAGACCATATTGAGAGCAGGCAATGGGTTAGATTCAGACTCAAGTGCCCATCTCAGTATGTCTTTCTCACCCCAGCCTGTCTTAGACCCTGGCCTTGCTCCTTAGAAGGTGACAGTTCCTCTATCTCCTGTAGGCACACATCCACTCCAGATGTCTCTTTTAAGTCAAAATAGGGTTTGGTAGCCACAGGAAACCTCAACTTCTCACTACTTCCTTTAGCTCTATTCGCCATGGACAGGGCCCCTGGCTCCTTGTGACTCAGTACGCTCTTCTTGTATTCAAGAAACCTGCGGTGTTCAGCTGGTGAGCTGTGTTCTGTACAAGGATGCCTTGCCCAGATGGATTCAAATCCAACCCAGGTGCACCTCCTCAGCTGTGCCTGCCGGGGCTTTCTGTCCCTCACTCATATGAAGGCCCTACACAGATAGCCTCTGCAGTCTTGTCCTGCTCTGATATCAAAATCACACGGGAGAACTTGTGAATGGTGTAGATTATTGGGCCCCACACAAACTACCACGAGATGACCCAAGAGCAAGGCTTGAATCTGCCTCTTCGAACACACTGATGACTCCTAAGATAGGAGAGCCATTTCCACATTACCTTTGATTCTCTGGGCGTTCTCATAGGGCCAGTTAGAATGAGTGATTATCAGTTCTCACTGAATGAATGAACAGGTCTGAGAAAACACAACCGTTCCTAATGGGGGCTAGGTCAGATCCCATCCAAACATCCTGCCACACTCAAGCTCCTTGATTGCCACAGAGCTCTAGTGACTGAGACTTCAACTTGAGCTCCGCTTAATACCGTTCACTTACACCACTTAGTACCATCTGAGAAGTCCTAAGCATGTGAAAATCAATCTCCAGTTTGTTTTCCCTTCTGCAAAATGGTCATAGGGACAATTACTCGCTTGAAGTATTGTTGTGAGGACAAGTTTGCTGCTCATGGAACAAACAGCTTTAAGTATGAGCTGTTGTTTTTTTGAGAGTTTGCTCCCTTGTTACTGTTCCACAAAACATTTTATTTTGGAAAACCACTAACATAATAGTGTTAAAATGCTGGTAAATTGATGGGTGTATCTGGGATGGTCTTCAGGAGCCTAGCACTGTTTATCATAACTGAACGGAATTGAAATCTCCAATGGATGATGGAACTTCTGGCTAGGAGGATCTGATTCCAGGCCTTCCTTTCTGCCAGTCCCATTCTGCCCCTTTCCCCCTTGCTGTCTGTGAAAAAGACCATATGGTAAATGCTGTTTCCTATCAAAAAGTGGTGGGATCACTTGTTCTGAGTGGGCCCAACATGCAGCAAACTCACCTTGCTAGATTTATGGTCCACATTAAAGGTGGCGATGACTCCATCAGTCAACTCCCGTCCCTCTCGAAGCACTACGTATTCTGATAGACGGTTAGCCAGGTAGGTTTTCCCAGTGCCACTGGGGCCAGAGAGAATGATACGTCGGTGCTCTATCAGCAGGGAGACGTAGCGCTGCAGGATGGGCTTGGGGATCAGAGACTCAAATACCAGTGAGTCCAGGCTGTTTTCTGCAAGCCCTGCATTTGAGAAAGACAAGGAGCATGTGAAGACCTGAAGGATAGCTAGCTGTGTTTGCATACTTGGGAACCTCCAGACCTGACATTATCACTTTCCTTGGCAGCTTACTCACCTGCCCACCAAGGTATACTGACTTTCAGTCAAATATCAACTGCTTCTGGAAGTCACCTCCTGTCCATCAGCACCTCATGCTTCTGGTCTCTGTCTTGGCTAGCTTTCTCAGCTTTATACTCACCTTTAATATTTAGGTTGAAATACTTGGGCTTTAATATTTAGGCCCTTAGTCCTGTATTCTGCAGAGGATCTAAGATCTGCTTATCTATCTGGATTTATATGCTTGTGGGTTCTGCCCAAGCTATACCTGAGTCTTGTCTGTCTGTGCCTGCCATAATCCTGGGTTGCCTCTTCCTTCTTGTTCTCGCTGGACTATCAGATACCATGCTACCCAAACTTGGATGTAGTATTAAGGTATGAAAACAATAACACTTGCATCTTTCAATAAAGAATAACACTAGGAGGAATCATTTGATTTTAGAACGTGATTTTGGAATGTGAGTTACTGACTGGCAGACCCAGGCTGAGACCTTTATTCTTCAACAATATCAAGTGAGAACTTATCTTTTCACTTTCCCACCTAGGAAAACTTCATTGATCGAAGTTGCTGGCTTTAAAAGAGATGTTCTGTTGTTGTTGGTTAGTTGGTTGGATTTTTTTTTTTTTTGGTCTATTTTAGTAGTACTAGGGACTGAACCCAGGGCCTCACACATGTTAGGCAGACACTCGACCATAAAGCCGTGTGTGTGTGTGTGTGTATGTGCGTGCGTGTGTGTGTGTGTGTGTGTGTGTTACATCTGGCTTTAAAGAGTTCTTTTTTTTTGGCGGGGCAGTGGGGGGGAGGGTGTTGGTCATGGGGCTTGAACTCTGGGCCTGGGCCCTGTCCCTCAGCTCTTCAACTCAAGGCTAGTGCTCTACCACTTGAGCAACAGTGCCACTTCCGGTTTTCTGAGTGGTTTATTGGAGATAAGAGTCTTACAGCCTTTCCTGCCCAGGCTGGCTTTGAACCACAATCCTCAGATCTCAGCCTCCTGAAGAGCTAAGATTTCAGGCGTGAGCCACTGGCATCCAGCTTAAAGAGTTATATTCTTGCTATCATTCCCAGAAGAAGATTTGTCCAAGGCTAGCCATTCATGCTCTAAGGAAACTCTTTAAAAGTTCCCCTCAAGGAAATAAGTATATATAAGTAATAAAGTAACCTAAAGGACATTTAAAAAAAATTAAAACAGTATCTTCCTTTTACACTAATTCATCACTGCCAACAGGTGCCTTCTAATGCATTTATGTTTATTTCTAATCTTCCCCAATTAAGAATAACCCCCCAAGCAGTGACTACCCTAGAATGACCACAATGAAGGTCCTGAAATGCTTGAGGGCAAGCCTACCAGCTTTCTACTTGAGCCATACACCCTATACTGGATTAAATCCCAATACAAACTATAATGTAGAGTCCTTAATCTAACTTTCTTTGGGGGGGGGCAGAGGGACGCAAGATGGTGACTTGAACTCAGGACCTGAGTACTATCCCCAGCACTCTGCCAGATGAGCCACAAAGCTCTACTTTCAACATTTTTTTTTTGGAAAAGTTTATTGGGGATAAGAGCCTCATGGACTTTCTTGACTGGGCTGGCTTCAAACCATGATCCTGAGATCTCACAGCTTCCTGAGTAGCTAGTATTACAGATATGAGCTACTGGTGCCTTAGTCTAAATTTAATAATAGTGTCCCCTGGGACCACTGAGGTAAACCACCAAGCTGATGGATCTCTTTCAGCTCAAACCTTTGAATAGGTCTTAGTGTTTTCAAAGCATAAGTTTCAAGCACTCAAAAAAAAATAGAAGAGTCAGGCACCACAAACTAAACTTAAGCCTATCCTTCCAGATGCTGAAACTTGATGTTCTGATAACAACCACAGCCCAGGCTTCATAGAGCATGGCCTGGTCCTCCAGAGGCAGTGTTATCCTCTCATTGTTTCTATGGAGGTTGGGTCTGGTCTTAACAATAAGTCACTTTTTGATAGATCACTTGTGGAATCTGAACCCAGGATGTAAATGGCTGTCCTTAAAGGGGTCTTGGCAGGGGAACAATTACTGGTTCCATGTCCATGGCTTCTCTTTCTGCTTCTCTTTGTAGCAGAATTCTTTCTCTTTCCAGATGGTTTAGGGAGAATTACCTAACTCTTCATCTACCCAATGGGATGTGCCAAATGTGACAAGGAAGTGTCAAAGCTTCATCCCACTCAGCATGACTACCCCAGTGATAAGCATTTAACTTCAGATGGGCTTGAGTCAGCCTTACAAAATTTCCAGTCACATTTCCAGAAAGAATTCTTTTAGTTTCCTAAGAGGATAAATCAAGGTTTTCAGTGGACATTTCAGCAACAATGTTTAGAAAGCTCAAAAAAGAAAAAAAATACACACAGCAGTGATGAGCCAAACAGATAGACTTGGTCCTGGTAAACATTGTATCTGGCTCTGCCTACCACATACTCCCAGATCCCCCCAGTATCTGAGCCTATACCTTTCACAATTGTAGCATATCACCTATCAGGATGATATGCTAAGTGGCAATGTGTCATCTGTCACCTGCAGACTGAGATCCTGATTTGCTGGTGGGGACTTCTGGGTGCTTTGAGAAAACCTACCAGGAATTAAAGTTTGCATCAAACAACTCCAAAATCATGAATAAAAATTGCAGTCGATTGGTGCCTTTCACTAAAGTCAAAAATGTGACTGTGAGAAGGACGGCATGAGGCAGCATTCACCAACTTCAATTTTCTTTTCATAAGGTATGGAGATAAATGGAATTGGCTGCCACATAAATTTGGAACTAAACTTGGGATTCAGAAACAGAGTCATTAAAGTACCAGTGCATTCCTGACCCTGGGTCTCAAACCCAAATGGGATTAATAATGCAGGTTCCCAGACTTCTCTGGCTGTGAAGCTTCCTTTACACCCACAGAGAATCTTGAGGCCCAGAGTTCTGTGGAACACACTGTGGCCTGGGGCTTAACATTACTGTGTGATGAGGTTTTTGGCATCTAGAGCTGCATCATGCCTGGGCAAGAGCTTAGCAGTTGCATCAGGATGCTTACAGCGACCCGTGTAGCCTACAGCATATCCGACTTGCTCCATCTGTACAATGGGACTTCATCCAAAGTTGGCTAGCAGGAAACATTGGTTGCTATTGGTAAATTGCCATTTCAATGGAGTTATTAAGGGGTTATTAAGATTCCATCATCTCAGAGTCATAAGACTAATAAGACCTTTTGATATGTAATTTTAGCAATAAACTAAAACAATTTGTTTCAGGTGGTGATTGAGAAAGCTGTAGCCTACTCAACTGGCTTAGGTAATTGTAGAAGGAATGGGGGAAAACACACCCACATATATATGCACCAACTAAATCTGTGCCAAGACACAAAACTCAGTGAGATTCCCGAAAGCCCCATCTCTGCAAGGGTCTTTTTTACCTCGGACTGTCACAGAGATAGTAGTATTCTCTCCCACCAGGTAGCCGCATGGAAGGAGCTCAGGGGTCTCAGAAGCATTGCTGCGTTTGAGTTCCCCAATGCTGTAGCCAAGAACACTGTCGGAATTCAGCCCCAGCTGACTCACAGGGTCCACGTGAATGATGTATTCCTGGAGAAAATAAAATAAAGACCCCATCGAAGAGGTGGCTAAAATCTGCCCATGACTCATATTTTCACTGCATGATTTATGTCTCTTCTTTCTCAGATGATGTCTGGGTTAAAATCAGGCTATGGAGCTGACTATATATATAAAGACTTAGTATCCCAAGCCTCTTAAAATACAGATTTATTTGGTTAAGAGATGGAAGAGGGGAAAAAATAAACCCCTAGGAAGATTGTGAACGTTTAGTCTAGATGAAACAAGCACAGAAAAGGTAGGTTGCTTTTCTTAGGTTCAGCTGGTATTTGTGAATGGTGCTGGGAATTCCTACAGGAAATCCTTTACCAGCCACTACTGTTGACTCAGAGCAAAGACCATAGTGGTAACAAAGAAAGCAAAACCTAAGGCTTCTAGAGGAAAAGAAAAAAGAAAAGAAAAAACTGTATTGGTTTAAAAAGGGAAATATACTCAATTTGGTAAATGTCCCCTTGTTGGTGAGCAAAAGGCTTTAGGTCAGTGATGATGTGACAGGTCCCTTCACTATAAGGACAACAAAAGTGAGTCCCAATTATAGGCCTTGAGTGGTTTCAACTTTTTCATTCACTATGACCCTGGAAACCTGAATAGTTGTATTTCTAATCTAAGAATATCTAATCTGAAGCTTTTTTTCCCCCCTTTTCATTCATTTTGTTTTGAGTTAGGGTACCAGGATGTAATCTAGGTTGGCTAGAACTCGTTATATAGTTCAGGCTAGCCTTGAACTTGTGATTCTTTTGCCCCAGCTTCTTGAGTGCTGATATCACAGGTGTAGACCACCACTAGCTGGCTAGTCACTGTCTAAAGCAGACGGAAAGGGTGTAGCTAATCACCAGTCTGGATTTATGATGGGCCTTCTGTTTCTTTGTAGGCCAGGGGACAAGTCTCTATAACATAAGGATGTAGAGGAGAGAATAAGCCAGGGAAATGGCCACATTCAGGACATAAACCTCCCTTTCCCTCCCTGAGTCCACTGCCAAAGCTTTCTTCTTGAGACACTTACTTTGAAGAGCCGTCTAACCACCCCATCGAGCACATCCCACTTCGTCTTGCCACTAACTCCAATGCAGCCAATAAGAAAGAGGTGTGGTCTGGAGTCCTAAGGGTAAGAAAATGTAAGCAGGTTAAAAACAAACAAACAAACAGGTAGATACTCTGTCCCAGTTCGGGAGAGGATTTATTTTTCCTTAGAACTCCACCAGTGGTTTGAGAAGGGAAGAAAGTTCTATTGGTTATATACCAGGCAGCACTTGGCTGGAATGCAATATCCTTAAAACGTTCCCTGCTCTACTGCTGAAATTGCTATGGGTTAAGGAAGTCAAGAATCTCCTCTCTACAGAATCCACTGTCTGCTAAGTGCATACTTTGTACAGAGCATGCATCACAAGTTCCTGGAATCTTCTCTTACCTTCTAGATGCCATTTCTCCCTTTTCAAATCTTTCCTAACAACTCACCTCTTCCAGGAAGTCTTTAGTGGTTAAACTACCTGGCTCAGAGCTTAGACTGCTCTACAGGTTCAGAGTACAACTTATACAGTGATATATTCTGTACTTGTGTATAGTTACTTTCAGCCTTTTTTTTTTTTTAAATCAAATTTGTCTCCTTGTTACACCTTAGAACTTCTTCAGGACAAGAATGTTTCCATTCTTTTCAAAAAATATTTTCATTCCTTTTCTTATTAAAAGATAAAACATGCTGAATCCAGAAAAGTAGTAAAACTCCAGGAAGATTGCCAAAAAAAAAAAAACCCAGACCTTTCTTCTACTTCTTTTACATCTATAACCACAGGGGCTAACTGATCGTATCAATTAAAAAAGAAAGCTCATAGAACATTCCATTCTGTTGGGTTTTTAAATATTTCATATGCTTGTACGGACACAGGAGAGGGGTGGGATTGGGGAGAAGGGCAGAAAGCTTGTGGCAGTTAAGCAAAATCAACAGAGAAAATAGTACACTAGTTTTGCAGGGAGATGAGCCGACCCCACTCCTTGCCTGGTGGCCTCAAGTAAGTGACACTTGGCTCCTAGGATTCTTAGCAGCAAAATGTAGATTACAACCCCTGGTCGGCCAGCTTCTCCTGGATACTGATGTAAACTGGAAATAATCAGTGAAAGTGACCTGCAAACTTTGGAAAACCATCAGCTTGATCTGTTCATGTTGATGGTTACTAGAATAATTCACATTCACAATATGGCCTGTATTTACTAGAAGAGTGCACTTAAAAATGATTTTCTCCCTTGATGAGCTAAGACTCTGCTGGCTGGATCCTGAGAAGGGGTTCAACTCCTGGAGGCTATCAAAGTGTGGACTTTCTTACCATTTCAGTGAGATAAATGAGCTGACCACAAAGTGGACCCTGGCAGAGAAAAGCCTGGCTGCAGACACTCTGTGGTAATAGGCACTGGGGTTCTCTAGCTGTCTGAAATTGAAACAGAATACTGGCTAGAAATGCTACAAGAAAACTAAAAATTCAAGGAGACTTGAAATGGTGCCTCTTGAGGCCTTATCCCATTTGAGCCAAGATCCTTCACAATATCACTGGGATTTAATCATTGAGTAAAATGTAACTTTCACTGGTAAACCCCCAACTCCACCCTCATAGAGTCTCTGGCTGTAGTACAGACTCTGGAAGAGAATGAAAACTGCAATCAGAAAACTGATCCCCAGCATGGTGATGCAAGACACTTCCAGCTCTACTCTTGGCTGCCTGAGTGCTCCTATAACTTGGTCGCCTGTTTCCCAGTGTCTCCTTTGTCTGTAGCCTCCGATGAGAGAAAACCATGGCCAGCTGAGTTCAGTCAGTGGACTGACTGTCAGGAGGAGGTACTAGATGTGCTTAGCTGCCTTGGAAGTGCTTTGGGAATACATTCAATTCAGAAAGGCTATTTTTGAAGATGTTAGTGTTAATCACAGGAAAGTACAACATGGGGCTGGTTTTAGTATGTTTTATTAGACTTGTAAATGAGAGAAAGGGAAGTGTCATTTGCTTACTGCTGGGAATCAAGGTCACAGTAGTCTCCACTTATCCAAGGTCCAGTTACCCATAGTCAACCCAGTATCTTGTTATTAGTTCAATTTTATTAGCAGTTATTGTTGGCAATCTTTTGATTTTTTTTTTTTTTTTGTCTGTTATGGGGCTTGAACTCTAGGCCTGGGCGCTGTACCTGAGCTCTTCAGCTCAAGGCAAGTGATCTACCACTTAAGCCATAGCACCACTTCCTGGTGTTATTCTGGTGGTTAATTGGAGATAAGAGTTTAACTGACTTTCCTACCCAGGTTGGTAGGCATGAGCCACCAGTGCCCAGCGGTTGCCCATCTTTTAAAGTACCTAGTTTGTATATTTAACTTTACCATAGATGTATATGTATAGAAAAAACACACATGACGCTTGTTGATTTGGTGGTTTAAGGCATCCCATGGGGATCATAGAATGTGACTCCCCACGAATAAGAGGGGACTATTGTATTAAGAAAGGTGTTAGCAGTTAGGTGAATCAGGTTTATGATTAAATCACTAAACTAGGTAGTTCTACCTGGAGAAGGGACAGGCAGAGCAGGGAAAGGGATCCAACTAACCTCCTTCCACTTCATTTCCTCCTGAAAGCTGACAACTATCTTAACATGCCTGCCTCCTTCCTTCCGAGCCGCGCATTCACCAGTGTCATCCAGCAACATGTCTGCGAATGGAAAACATCAACAGCCTTAGGCACATGGGGACAGCAAAGCCGGCTTCCTGACACCCCGGCTGCCTGTGGTGACAGCAGCGGCACAAAGCAGGGTGTCGGGCTGCAAGGGAAGTGGGTGGGGGAAGGGAAAAGGGAAAGGGTAGAATGGAGAATGCAACCACAGAAACCAATGGTGGGCCAACCAAAGAGCCAGCAGGCTGACGATGTATCTTGCCAAATGAAGTGCAGGGAGAGACTCAACCAAAACAAGAGCAAGAGCAGCATCATGGATAAAAAAATAAAAGCATCAGCCTCAGTATGCTTAAAAAGAAAACCTAGGTCATGTTTGCAGATGATGTGCCAGCCCGGCTCCATCCTGAAGGCAGGAAGGCCATAGGCCAAGCCATTGTCCATCTGGAACCTGCTACTGTGAAGTGTACGCAGCATTCATCTTATGGGTCAGCCTCTAAAAATGGATCAAACAGAACTCAGCGTGGTGGGAGAGGGAATCCAAGCTCATGGCTTGGAGAATTTGGGGCACTGGAGCAAAGCATGAGAGCACTCTAATGGCTGGGCTCATGTTGGTAGCAGACGCACACCCAGACACACACACTCTAAGTGCACACACGCCTGTTGCCTCTCCATTTGATCTGGTGACCTGCTTATCCTGGGGCTCTTGCTTGGAGAACAGAATGCCAGCAGCAGGTTCAGGCCTGCCTCCAACCCTGCAGCCACTCACCCAGGCTAGTTGACTCTGTGAGGTTCAGGCTGTGCTGGGAGAGGCCCATGGACTGCCTTGGGGAGGCAGAGATGGACACTTGGGAAGGAGCCCGGCTGCAGCCACTGCCTTGAGACTCTGACTTCAGCCGGTCATTTTCAGCTTTCAGCTTCTCTATTTCACTCTGGAAAGAATAAGGCAGAATCCCACTTAGTAGGTGGATGTAATGGGAACACAAGACTTCTCTGGAGAAAGGATCTGGTAGTTCCCTACAAGAGCCAACTGGCCATTCTAGCCTAACAAGTAACACTCAGGGAGACTCAGCAGGCTGTCCTGCTTTGGCTTATGTCCAAGACATGTCTGATGGTGTCATAGGTAACTTCCAGAGAAGCGGCCTTTAAAAGAGGTGTTCAGGAGCTGGACATGTTGGTAAGCACATGACTAGGAAGAAATATAAACAGCAAACCTCTTTGCTGGGTGATGACCTTAAAAAGCAAGGGGCTGATGATAAGAGTTGTTATAAGAAAGCATTAAGGGCTAGGAATGTGGTTTAGTGGTAGAATGCTTGCCTAGCATGCATGAAGCCTGGGTTTGATTCCTCAGTACCACATAAACAGAAAAAGCCAAAAATGGTGCTGTCTCTCAAGTGGTAGAGTGCTAAAAGACACTCTTGAGCAAAAGACAGTCAGGAACAGTGCCTACGCCCTGAGGTCAAGTCCCATGACTGTCAAAAAGAAAAAAAGAAAGACAAAGAAAGAAAGCATTAAGTTGGGCACAGTGGCTTGTATTACAATAGAAGAAGATTGAGAGGACTGTGATTCAAGGTCAGCCCAGGAAAAAAAAAAACGTTAGAACGACTTCTATCTCAACATCAACAAAAAAGCTTGACATGGTAGTATGTGTCTGTGCTTCTAGCTACATGGGAAGTGAAAATAGAAGGACTTGATCCAGGCTGGCTTGGCCATAAACATGAGACACTATTTGGAAAATAACTAAAGCAAAAACGGCTCTGTAGCTCAAGTAATAGAGCACCTGCCTGGCAAGCTTGAGACTGAGTTCAACTCCCTAGTACCACCAAAAAAAAACCCAAAACACCTCAAAGACAATAAACATCTTGGCTTTCCCAAGGTTTGCTGCTGAAGTATTCAGTCAAGAAACATATTATAATCAAAGAGGCTTGCAAAATTCTGGTTTGATAGATTTTGTTACTGCAAGGCTTTGTTTTAAAGAGTGTGCTTTGGGAAAGGTTGGTCTCCTGTGAGGTCCAACTTAGCACCAATTTATGAGGAACATAAAGTGATGCTATGTCCAGAGAAAGGGATAAAAAAAACAATAAACAAAACAGCTAAAAAAACTCACATGTTTTCAGACTGTGGCCCATTGGGGGACACCTATAACAACACATCTGAGCAACATCTAGAGGAGAACACTGAGTCTTCTAGCTGCAGGACTTGGAAAGGCTTTGCAGAGGTAGAAGGGTCAGGTGGGATGAGAAGAAAGTTATTCCCAGGGGAGGGAATAACATAGAACAGAAACTCAAGAGGGCTCACTAAAGGACCCATCAATGGTCCATTTGGCCTACCAGTTGAGAATAAAAATTGGAATCAGGACTGATGTGGGGACCAGAAGTGAAAAGGGCCTTGGAGAAAAAAAGGCTTGAAGGGCAGGAGAAGGGAACAGGTAGAAGCAGGAGGAGGGAGTAGGGAGGTATGATTACACTTATGCTTTCCCAGAGGCTGCTCTACGCAATATGTGAAAGTGATTGGAAATATAAAGAGAAAAATGGAGGGTGGTCAGCCTGGAGATGCCCACGCTGCTAGAGAACACCTCCCTGTAGCTTCATCTACCTCCTGATCGCTCACCTGCATCCTGTTCATGGCCTCCCGGAGCTGGTCAAGCTGATGAGCAGAGCTGAGAGCTTCCAGGCGGATGTCTGTCAGCTTCATCTCCTTGTCTCTGAGCTCATTTCGCAGCTGCATGACTGTCTCAGCTTCACTATCTATGCAGTCCGAAATTCTAGAGAAAGGGGATGTTATGGGATAAAAGCAGTTCTGAGTTCATCTCTTTTTAGACTCTTACCATCCAGTTCAATAGTCGGGTGTGTTCAGCAGTAACCATGCATAACCAGTCACCTAAGGCTTCTCACCTCAAAGTTATTGATGTTTTTTTTTTTTTTTGGTTAGTCATGGGGCTTGAACTTAGGGCCCAGACTCTGTCCCTGAGCTCTTTTGCTCAAGGTTAGCACTCTAACAACTGAGCCATGGTGCCACTTCCAGTTGTCTGGTGGTTAAATGGTTGTAAGAGTCTTCTGGACTTCCTACCCAGGATGGCTTCAAAACAAGATCTTCAGATCTTAGCCTCCTGAGTAGCTAGGATTATAGACATACGCTACCAGTACCTGGCTAAGTTACTGATTTTTATGACTTGTCTGAAATATTTCTTCACAGAGCTCTGACGACCAGAATAGGTCTAGCAGGCCTTTCCACAAAAATCTCAATAGTGGAGGAGAAAGGAGCAATAGGTTGCTTTGTACAGCTTGGCCAATCAGGGGGCTCTACAGAGGTGCCATAATCTGAGTATCTACCTGCTTGTAAACTTACATTGAAATTTAGGCTTCAAAGCTACATGTAATGCTATTTGGAGGAGGAGCCTTGAAAAGGTAATTAGTATTAAATGAGGTCATGGCAGTGAGGCCCAGTGATAGAATTCATGACTTTATTAGAAAAGGAATTGAGATTTGAATAAGCAGGCTTACCCTAGCCTGCTACGTGGTATCCTCTACCCTTTATCACACTATGACCCAGTAAGGAGTCTCTCACCAGATGCTGAGCAGATGCTGGCACTATGTAACAGCTAAATAAGCTTCTGTTTATGTATGTACATGTGTGTATGTGTACATAATATATATATATATGTGCATACATACATATATGTATATATATAAACATATATGGTACCCAATTTTTAGTATTTATAGCAAGAGAAAAATAGCTAAGACAAAAGGATAGGAAAGTAATAAATAAGAAACTTTAGTGTTGGGGTACAAGTCTCCTACAAAATCAGCTAGCTCTCAAGAAACACAATGGTGAGGCCTTATAAGAAGGGGTTGCCTAACAAAGATGCTGTCGGTAAAAAGTTCCTTTGTACCAGCCCTAAGTTTTAGTCCCTATCCCGGCAGTCCAAGTTAGAACTTTCCTTTTCCATTGGTTCCTTCCCCTTGTAGACTTATTGCTATGTATCTGAAAATTTACTGTACCTAACAGAATACCCTTTGCTTGTCTGCTAGCTCCTCAAGGTCCAGGGTTAAGCTTTGCATCATTTCTAGGGTCTGATCACATCGATCTAGCCACTCACAGCAGGTACTCTCACTGTTTACTGAACACATGGGCATTTGAAATCTGTCGATCAGTATTACACTACTAATTCCATAAAGAGATACTATAATTGTATTTTTTTTTAATGAGAAGGCTGAGGCATAGAGATAAAAATGCCCAAGGGCATACTACTTAATGTGTTGAGAGAGTTGGAATAAAACTTGTTAAGTTTGCTCCTAAATTGTAACTAGGAGGCACTGTACCTGCAGTTTATATGTTATACTCCTGTATTGTTCCCAACATACTGCATGGAGTGCTTACTGAAGTAACCTGATGTATGGTTTTTCAATCCCTAGATAGTTATTCTAACATACTCCTGTCTTGTTGGGAGGCGGGCTGGTTGCATGCCTAATTTTAAATGCATCAAGTGTGGGAAATGTTGTCTTCCCCCAGCTGTCATTCCTTTCGCCCACAGGATGGAGAATTCTCTAAGCCCAACTCCTCTGCCTCTGGTTTCTTCTTTGAACTCCCTCTCACATCTAGATTTGCACATTCTTATAAACCTTTCAAGGTTGGAAATAAGCATTTAATGTCAGCCCACCCTTTGGAAAACGAGAGCAAAAACAAACATCTCCAGTGTCCATGGAGGTTGTGGAATGTAAGAAAAGGATTGGTGAGCCAAGAGCCTGCCCTGCCCCATTCCTATGGGAAAAGTGGTTGGGAAAGAGCATTCTTGCTGATGGTTTTCTATAGCTGAGTGCATCACCACCACCCTCTTCTAGCCTGACATGACCGCCCAGTATCACGTAGAACAGTGTCTGTTCCTCCAAGCAGTTTCTTTTTTTTTTTTTTATTGTAAACATACTATACAGAGGGTTACAGTTACATGAGTGAGGTAATGAGTACACTTCCTCTTGAACATTGTTACCCCCCCCATTGTTTTCCCCCTACCATCCCCCCCCTCCCTCCCTTCCCCAGGTTCTTTTTTTTTTTTTTGATTGTGATTAAGTGATTACATAATTTCTGGAAATTCACAGTATTGTGGAATAATGATGCTCATTTGAAGTCACAAGTTCATTCTAACTTTCCTGGAGCAAATTGTCTATCACAGTCTGTAATATATAACGGTGCTCACATGTTATATACCATATATGTGATCAGCAGCATGGGGATATTTAGTAGTGGTTCAACCAGATGAGTGGGAGTTCTTTGTTTCTTAAGTCCTGTTAGTTTTGTCATATCACCTAACATTTTGAATTTAGCATCCACTTATCAGGGAGACCATGTACCGTTTGTCTCTTCGTTCTTGGCTTACTTCGCTCAACATGATTCCTTCTAGCTCCATCCATTTCCCTGCAAATGCCATTATTTTGTCATTTCTAATGGCTGCATAATATTCCATTGTGTATAGACACAATTTTTGAATCCATTCATCTGTGGTGGGGCATCTAGGTTGTTTCCATATCCTAGCTATTGCGAACAGTGCCAAGCAGTTTCTTCTCTTGGTCTCCCTAGGTTTTCCCCCACCTCATCGACTGCTCTACATTCTCTTCCTTAATTTCAAATTTCAGCATGTCAGAGTTCAGTCCTGCTCCTCTTTATCTCCGTTCAGTTACTCAAAGAATTCTTATTTCCCAGCTTTCATTGCCACCGCTAACCTCCTGTCGCCCAAATCTCTATGTTCTAGAACTCTAGGCCGGCCAGGAATCTCACTTAATGTGGCCAAGGCAAAGCTCCCACTCCCTGTCCCACCTGTCCCATTCAAGACGCAAGTCGAGGAAGATCCAAAGGTTGTTCCTCTCTTTCCCTCATCTTCTACATCAGATCTATCACCATGAACTGTGAACTACTTTTCTTCCAGACCTTAAATCATTGAAGAGTCACAACTACTATCGGTCATTCCTTCTTTGTACCAAAGATCCAAAGGCTTGCTGAACCATCAGGGAACCCATTTTCATGGGTTCAACATTGTAGATCTGGGATAGAGTAAAGGGCAGAGAACAAAAACTGAGAAAATATACATGTCAGCTGGTAGTAGGTTGAATGGTGAAAAATAGAGGAACGGGGGATGACAGGTGGTGGTAGGGCAACTTGATGCAAGATGTACAGGACTTGATAATAAGGTCACATGAGCAGAGACCTGAAGAAAAGATTAACCAGAGGGATGGTTTTTTCAGGCAGGGGACATAGCAAGAGCAAAATCCTTAAAGCAGGGCATGTGAAGGAAGGTTCATGGCATAGCCAGCGGCCAGTGGAGGCTCACATTATAAGGGAAAGGCTAGCCGCCTCTCTCCTGCTACTCTTGCCTCATGCATCTCCTTAGGACACTAATTAAAGTTCTCTCGCCTTTCTGCCTAATGCTCCCTCACATCTATTATACATGAAGTCAGAAATGACTTCTCTGATTTCGAAGTTCTCCCTGTTACAGGCCAGGCCTTCCTCTGTGGCCCCTTTTTCTTCTACTCTGCCCCCTGACTATCCTGTGGCAACCAGCCCTCCCTTCTCAGACTCAGCCAGCTTGTTTCCACATTGGCTTCCTTAAGCTGTTTATTTCTTGGAACAGCTGTCCTGCTCATGGGAAGGCTGATATGGGTTCACTAAAGCCCATTTCCTTTTGTACATCTTCCCATGTAGATAGTATGGCCCTAGGACCTGGTCACTGAACAGTAGGAAGAGGACATGTATGTTCTTTCTAGGCCTGCAGGATCTTCCACACCCTCTCCTGACTCTGGCTAGACCCACATTGGGTAGAGGACTAGGTCATGGCAGGAAGCCTGCTGACTAGGTATATCTGCACTGGGTTTGGAAGGAGCTAGAAATAAACAGTGTTAAATAAAAGCCACTGAGCTTTTATTTAGGGGTTTACTGAAGCTAGTGTTTCTAACCAGAACTAAACAGCGGTTCCTTCTGTTACAAAGATTTCAGCTAAAATGTCACCTCATCAGAGGGTCTTTCCTGACCATCCCATCTAAAGTTGCTGCATCCTAGTACCATTTTCATCCACAGCATTAACCCTTAAGATGCCTGGCTTTAATAGATTAACAGGATTCTCTAACTCACAATAGACAAGGCAGCCAGAGAAATAATTTTATCGTCTTGACACTGCCATAATAGAGCCAGATTGGCACCTAGCACCTAGGGGTGGAATGAATGGTCTCATGCCATGTCCCCAGGATCCCTAGTCTCCACAGGATGAGAATCTGGCTAATCTTAGCCTTAGTCTTTGCAGAATACCTTGAACATATTCAGCTCATACAGCCTGTTCTACAAAAAGTTCAAATCAAGAGCAGACAGTGGGTTCCTTTTTCCTTCTGGTCAGGAAATGATTGAACTAGGATGCTTTGGGATGGATGATGGCCTGTGTGAGATACCCTGTCTTTCATTCTTGGGCATGCTATACATCAAGTAGGACTCATGCTTTTAAGTATTCATTTTATCTTAGCTCAATCTGATTTCACCCACAAAGAAGTGGCTTCCCTTTCACCAGGGCGCACCAGTAGAAGTGGAGCTGATCCTCTAGGTATAATGAAGCCGTATGTCACTAACACATAGATCACTTAAAATGGTTGGGCACTGATGGCTCATGCCCATAATCCTAGCTACTCAAGCAGCTGAGATCTAGAAGACTGTGGTTTTGCCAGCTGGGCAAAAAAGTTTACTAAACACCATCTCCAAAACATCCAGCAAAAAGCCATGCAGGAAGTATAGCCCAGAAGTAAAGCACCAGCCTAACAAATGTAAGACTCTGAGTTCAAACCTCATTACTGCCCCCCATACACATATACTTCTACTTTGCAATTGGTGTGCCATAAAGACCTGGCCTTTGGGTAGGCCAATCTTCGAGGCAATGTGGCAAGCACTTGGGCAGCAATTGAGGCTCTTGTGCAGGTTGCTACCCTCAGCAGGTTGACTAGGCCTAAGCGTACCGAGGGTCAGTTCCACAGACTAGCCTCTTGAGAATGGAGGATGAAGCAGGAAGATAGAGGCATCTATTTTGCCTCTCTCAAGAATCCAGTGAGGGGGCTGGGAAGGTAGCTCAGTGGTAGAGCGCTTGCCTTGCATGCCAGAGGCCCTGGGTTCAATTCCTCAGCATCACATAAGCAAAAAGAAAAAAGCGGGAAGTGGCGCTGTGGCTCAAGTGGTAGAGCACTAGCCTTGAGCTGAAGAGCTGAGGGACAGCGCCCAGACCCAGAGTTCAGGCCCCACGACCGGACCCCAAAAAAAAAAATCCAGTGAAGTAAATGTAATTACTGAGATTTATATAATGAATCTCCTCTGTTTTTTAATCCTATCTCAATGATGATCTGATTCCAGCCACAGCTCTTTTCTTCTCTCAGGTACTGTCTCAGCACCCTGATAACTTGCCTTTAGACTGTTCACAATCATCATGGATAATTCTAGATGTGGCAAACATGGTCTTACGATAGAACTTAGCTGTACTTAGCTATAAGAAGGTAGCTGTGCAACTTTCTGAGCTAATACCAATGTCCGTACCCACCCAAGCCATTTCTGCTCTTGGCTCTTGCTCCAAATCTGGACCCTGTTTTCTTAGATTGGAGAGAATGGTCTTCCTATGCTGGGATAGAAGACTGAAGCATGAGTGCATAGGGAGAGTCATGGAAAAGAGGGCTGGGCAAGAACAGATGGCTCTTTTTCTCTGTGTAACTGCAGCTAGGAGAACAGCTCTAGACAACCTGAACAAAGCCAGTCATGTCCCTAAGAGCTGCTACTGAAGTTCCTAGAGGAGGAGCTCATGATGAATCATTTCACCAAATACCAAGTCCTTTAGCAACAAGAAATTCACTGAATCTATCTATTTTTAATCCCAAATTTCTGATTTCTAATCTCAGAGAAATAGTAAACACCAAATCTTCATCAAAGAAGAAAATTATATTTTAAATCCCAACATCCAAGTGAATCAGAATTTCAGCAAAAACTGCCAACCCTCTTAATACCATCTGCCCTTGTAGCAAAAAGGTTCTCGTGTCTTTATCCATTTATTTTATGCAGTGCTTAGACAACAGCCCATATCCCAATCTGACATACAAAGAAGCGGAATAAGGAGGAGTTAAATAACTTGCTACTAATTATGGTATTGATACCACCCTAACCAAACGCTGTTTCCATTTTTTCAACCTTCTCAGTTCTTTTTTTTTTTTTGGGTCCGGTCGTGGAGCCTGAACTCTGGGCCTGGGCACTGTCCCTCAGCTCTTCAGCTCAAGGCTAGCGCTCTACCACTTGAGCCATAGCGCCACTTCCGGCTTTTTTGTTTTGCTTATGTGGTGCTGAGGAATCGAACCCAGGGCCTCTGGCATGCAAGGCAAGCGCTCTACCACTGAGCCACCTTCCCAGCCCCATCAACCTTCTCAGTTCTAAAAACCCTGGGAGAACACTCAATATCCTGTTAAATCGATAAAAAAAAAAAAAAAAAAAGGAAAAGCAAGGACTGTGATCCAAGGCCATCCTAGGCAAGACATTAGTTGAGACCTCAGCTCAGTAAACAAGTGGGCATGGTTATGCATGCCTGTGATCTCCACTATGAGGACTGCGCTCCCAGTAGCCTAGGCAAAAAAGCATGAGACATTATCCTAAAAAATAAGAGGGATTGGAGGTGTGAATCAAGTTATAGAGTACCTGCCTAACAATTGCAAAGGCCTAAGTTCAAACTCCAGTCTACCAAAACATAGATAAGTACATACATACATCTATATATAAGGAAAACATATAGGACCAGGTAAGCAAATGTCTCCTAATAGGACTCATAAGTCACTTCTGCTTGACAACATCTGACAGGGTACCCCAAGAGACAAACTCACAATGAATTGGAGTGAGAATTCCTCAACAGAGGGGTGGAGCTCATGGACCCATTGTGTGGCAACTTTGGAGAGGAAGGCAAAGAAGAATCTGTCATCTCCTCGATGTCTGAATGAGAGGATGCAGACTTGGGGGACTTCTTCTTTCCAAAAGCTTGCTTGAAGGAGCTGCGCAACTGAATACAAAAGATTGTTAGCCTTTTGGGGGGATGCAGCCAAAGCTCAGGCCTTGGCTACCCAGTGACATGCATACAAAAAGAGCAATTAACTCTCCCATGTTTCCCCAGCCAATGGAAAAGGCTCCCCCAACAGCTCTCAAATCAGTGCATTAAGGGAAGAGGAGTTATCTGGTATTGATAGCTCAGGACTGGACCTGTGGGGAACATTCCATGCCTACTCTTGGTTCAAGACTGGATGCCAACAGCAAGACAAAGCCTGGCTCAGCAGGTGGATGTGGGGAAAATGAGGTTACACAGCAACAAAGCAGGATGCTGAGACATGACGGATGCGGATGGGTTAGTCATATCAATGGATGGGTTAGCTTGGTATCTGATATTAAAGTTGGTTCTTGCTTACCTCATTGACCTGCCAGAGAAAATGCAAGCAAAACAGGGAAGGGGAAGGAAAAAAGACAATTTTTAACAGAGAAAGCCAATGACAGGGAAAGCTTTGGACTTTTCGACATAACATAGCTAATAATAAACACCAAACATAGAAGAGGATTCCAGTAGGAATGTGAACCTTTAACAGTATGGGGACATCCTCCTTCATCATGAAAGGAAGGGAAGAGTAGGTTGTCCCCAATCAGGGTTCTTCTGACTTCTTCTAGTCTGGTTAAAGTAGCTGTGCCCACCTTCCCATGCTTCACACTTTTCCTTAATGGTTGAGCTGGGAGGAATGAGGACTGTAGGGGAGAATGTCTATTTTTCTGAGGAGTATCATCTCAGACTTTCCATAGAGCTGTACAGCTCTTTGCTTATACTAACTTGGGACTTCTTATATAAAAAAGACAATTTGATAAACAGGGGATTAGCCATCTCCTTCACTACTCAAAAAAAAAAAAAATACGAGGGGAAATTGTTTTTAAAAATTCATTAACCAAGTCGGGCGCCGGTGGCTCATGCTTGTAATCCTAGCTACTCAGGAGGCTGAGATCAGAGGATCACAGTTCAAAGCCAGCCCAAGCAGGAAAGACTGTGAGACTCCTATCTCCAATAAACCACTTAAAAACTGGAAGTGGCGCTGTAGCTCAAGTGGTAGAGTGCTCGCCTTGAGCTGAAGAGCTGAGGGACAGCACCCAGGCCCAGAGTTCAAGCCCCATGACCAACAAAAAAATAAAAAATAAATAAAATAAATAAATAAATAAATAATTCATTAACCAAGTTGTAAAAAATAAAGAGGTATGATACAATTTTCCTTTGCCCTGAAGAACAGAAAGAATGAAGCACAATTCTCTGAGAGCCATGGGCATAATATTTTGTGCTGAAAACAGGTAGTTCAAAAAGTAATTTCCTTTTATTATTTTCCCCCCTTGCAAAAACATATTCTAGGGGTTTTCTCAGCCACTGAGAATTTCAGAAAATAGGCCATTGGGCAAACTGCTGAGATTTTTCTTCCATTCATGTGCTTCATCTCTAACAAACCTCATGACAGCCTGTGGGCAAATCCAGATCCCATTGCTCTCTTATTTTCTACTTCTGGACCTATTTCCAGAGAGTAGCCATAGAGACAAGAGGAACTGGCATACATGCCAACAAACTCAATACTTGCCTCTACCTCTGCTAAAAAGCCAAGTGAAAGAGGAGATTATGAAGATTAGACAGAATTAAGCTTTGGGATAAGCTTTAGAATGCCAATTATCCATCCTCCCTGATTTCACTGAGAAGTTAGAATTAGTTGTCATAAAATAGCACAAACACATTTTATATCTTAGCTCGAAGAAAATAAACACTTTTTTTCATACTCAGACAATATTCTTCAACTCAGACTATACTTATCAATTGCATATTAGAGATGGCAACATGAGTTAATCCTACCTGTTTAGTCATAGCAAATGAGTTGTCTAAAAGCTATTAGTAACTTCAAGAAAAAAAAAATGAATCAGAATAAGAGGGTTACACTGAGCTGGCCTTCCAGCTTGTCTCTAACGCTAGTCATTAGAAACAGTATTACAGAACCCACCACAACTCTGTCACTAGACCTCGCCACCCATCCAAGATGACACAAAATGAGAGAGAGGTGTGTGGAATGAATGAGGACCCTGAGGCCACTATGTAAACAAGATGCTTTCTGCATGGGAAATTCTGGCTCTTTGAGCACTGGCCAACTTCAGATCAATCTGGGGTGTCCCTGCATTGAAGATGAGCAGCAGTAAATGTCACTCAGTACTCCAAAGCCTTGACAAAAAGACTGAAAAAAGCATGGAGGGTGGAATTTCCCCAGAAGAACAGGGAAATCACTGAGGTATGGAAAATCAAGTCATGCATTGAGATTATGGCTACATGGAGATCGTTCTATCCAATGCATTATTTTTGAGGTACTACTTCCAGCTTAGAACAACTCCTCATGTTGATATTATAAAAGTTATTTATAGGATATGGTTAGAAAACTTTCAAGGACAATGTTGCTCTCATATTCTAGGCAACTGTATAAATAAAGACAAAAGATTATGGTTAAGGATGGTATAACTGTTGATATATGCTCCAAAGGATGCTTAGGAGGTATTTACGAGTAACTTTGCTAAGGGCTCCAAGTGCAATTCAGTGGTAGATTGCTTATTTAGCACAGGAAGGCCCTGATGCAATCCCAGTACTGTCAAATAGTAAATAAAAGAGTAACAGCTCTAGCAATCTGTGGCCAGCATAAAATGAGGAAAAAATGACACATATGAAATGGAAGATGAGTATGTCACATAAAGTCTCATGAAAGAGAAACAACACAGTGGTGGTGATTATGTAATTCTAGTGTTTTGCTGAGCATACTGGTTTTAGTAAACACTTATCCATACGCCACTTCTTTGGATCTATTCCCAAAGACATATCATATCGTACTGAGGTTAAGAGGCAGCCTGAGCTTCATCTAGGGAACTCTTGCTTCTGCAACAGACTCAGTCCTTGGGAGAGTGTGAATAAATACTCACCCAGTTCTTCCTCTTCTTTTTCTTTGAATCATTCTCTATGTTACTGCCCACGCTTGAGTGGCTGGTAGCACTGTTGATGCTGGAGACGCTATCGGAGGAATGCTGCCTACGGATGCGGAGGTCTGTAGACTGTGCAGGACCATTTCCTGGAAAGTAAGACAGGACATGTCAGTGCCTACAGACTTGGGTGTCTCCACAGATGGATCGTGAACTGAGATCCATATTCCCATGAACTCCTAAATTTTTTTTCCATTGAAACATCATCAGTATTTCTCACTGATGGTTTTAGATCCTTGAGTAGCTAATTGTTCTTTCTGTTCACTTTGGTCAGTTAAATGGGGTCTGAGTCTTTTCACTTTACAAAACAGATATCAAAAGAAGGCTGAGGGAGAATTTTCCCAGCACCATCTTAGACTACAGAAAGGCAGAAAAATAATGTTTCTCAATTGCAACATAGTACTTTTCTCATTATCTCCATACCCTTGTTTTAATTTTTTTTTTAAATTTTGGACATTATTAGGATGTGAACTCAGTGCCTCATGCTTGCTAGGAAGGAGTTCTACCTATTTGAGCCCACCCCCCCCACTCCTTATTTTAGCTTTTTTGTAGCTAGTTCTCATATTTTTGCCAACCACTGAAGAGCCTCCTCCTAGGCCTACCTTGTCACTGGGATCACAAGTGAGTGTTACTGGATACTTACTGGATCTTACTAACTTTCTGCCTAAGCTGGCCTTGAATCATGATCCTTCCAATCTCTGCTACCTAAGTAGTTGGGATTATAAGTGGGAATCATTGTGCCCAGAAAAAAAAATTAGCAGTGTTGGAGATGGAACACCCATGGTGTCATGAGGAGACACAGTCTACCACCAAGCTGCATCCCTGGGCCTGCTCCTTTGCTTCCTCTGCTTTTCACACTTACTCCCTTTGGAGTGCCATCTGACCTCCCGGTCCTGTGAAATGTTCTTCCCTTTTCTTGCAATTCTCTTTCCTTTCCACTGTCTGGCCAGCTCTTTCTTTTTCTTTGCTTCTCTTCTTTTTCTTCCTGAGTTCAAATCTCAGGACCTTGTGCTTACTACGTAGGAGCTCTACTGCTTGATCCACATATCCCTAATCAAGTTTTTCTAATCTTTCTTCTTTAAAATCTATCATTGCTATGTTTCCAAGGAAAGAATAACATGGACTTTTGAAATAATGTTTCCTGCCCGTTTTCTTTATTTTATTTCCCTTGAGTCATGGGGCTTGAATTCAGGGCCTGAGCTCTTTTCCTCAAGACTAGTACTCTACCACTTTGGGCCACAGCTCCACTTCCAGTTTTCTAGTGGTTAATTGGAGCTAAGAGTCTCAAGGGCTTTCTTTCCCAGGCTGGCTTTGAACCACAATCCTCAGATCTCAGCCTCCTGAGTAGCTAGGATTACAGGTGTGAGACACCAGCACCCAGCCTTACTGCCTATTTTTTCCTCAGGACTACACTCAAGTCCTGAATGAGAAGTTCTGACTTTAGAAACAGCTCCTCAGGTTCTAGTCCCAACTTCTTTGTCTGGTAATTCTCTGACTTCAGGAAGTAAATGCATACTTTAAACTCAGACTATAATTAGTACCATGAACAAAGAATCAGGTCAGTAAGTATAAGGCTGTTGTGGAAAGAAAAGAAGATAGTATATTTAAAAAGGTAAATAAATAAATTAAATAAGCTTAGAGCACAAGCCAAGAGTTCCATAAATGCTACCAATACTATTTCCAGTATTATTTTTGTTGTTAATACTGTTACTACAGGAAATAACACCTGCGCATCTATTTTTTCACAAATATTATTTTTTAATCCTATCCCAACTTATGATTGAGGACAATTCTCCTGCACAAGTAGGAAATGAAACCATTTCAGATCCTCTCATACTAGCATATGAATACAGAATCAAGCAAAGTTAAGGGCTGTAAAATACTTTTACATTCAGCCAAGAGAATGCTATTCCCTTCTAATTTGAGATTCATCAGAGAAGGTGAGCTACACTAGCCAGCCACCTCTGTACAGACTGGAAATAACTTCTGGGATCTGCCTGACAGATAGAGAGCTAGAATTCAAGCTACCCACCCTCTAGCAGGGACCATGCATCATGTGCCATCAAGGGAGGCTGCTAAGGGAGGCAGATCATTTGTCTAAAGCTATTTTTTACTTTACCTTTGCAGTTGAGCTCAGGAGTATTAATTACTCCATTAATAGCAGCCTGGGCAGCTGCATTCTGTTTCTTTAGCATCTCGATGGTTTTTCTTAACTCATTCAGTTCTGAATCCTAAGGATAAGAAAGGTATATTGGTTATTCTAAAATAACACAAAGGAACAACTTGGCTTCAACAGAAGAGGGTAATAAATAAAGATGCTCTACAGATCTGTTATCTCTTCTGGGAAAGGGATCCATTTCAGTGGACATAGGAGAACACATAAAACAAGTAAAATGGGACCATGAGCTCTGTTGTTGATGTCAATGCATCTAAGTGCATGATGTCAATCAACATATCTATTCTTGACATTTAAGCTTTATTAGTCAAAGAGATAAGTTAAAATCCACACAATTATGTGAAATGAAAATGAATATTTCTAGGTTTGTTGTTAATCCCAAGCAGGGAGGGAAAGTATCCTTTCTGCCTTACCTTCTGTTCAGCTGTCATGGTTAAACTCTGGAGTCTGATGGTCATGTTTCCAAGACTCTGCTCAAAGGCTGCTACAAGGTGAGCCTGGAAGGGAAAATACAGCTGATATTACATTATTTTGCAAAGCAACAGTGCCTAAGCAGCACTGGGTCCTCAAGATGCAAATATTTTCTGGGTATTTCTTTGATCTGGCTTCTGTCCATGTCTTCAGGCTCCTCTTGTTTCTCATTTGCTACTCTACCACTCTTAGGGTTATTTAGCCTTGTAAGCTCCAGGATCCTGTGCTCTTCCCCATCTCAGGCCACTGTATATCTATTCTTCTCTGCCTGGAACACCTTTCTCCCATCTACTCCTTTATTAATGTTTATACATTTGCCTCAAGAGCTCTCACCTCATGCCTTTGTGAAACCCCCAGACTGAACTGGTTTCCCTTATATTCACTCCTATGAGATCACTGTCCTTCTGAATGTGCTTGTGAGATCCTTGATCATTAGTATATGCCTGTCTTCTCTATGACTCTGCAGGCTGTTCTTTCATTTACCAAGTCCATGGCAGAGGCTCACAGGAAGAAATCCTGTGGAATGAACAAAATGGCTGATGTCTTTTGCTTATGTTAATAAAAAAGCTGCTAAAAAGCTTCGTCCTGGGGCTGGGAAGGTAGCTCAGTGGTAGAGCGCTTGCCTTGCATGCCTGAGGCCCTGGGTTCTATTCCTCAGCACCACATAAGCAAAAAAAGAAAAAGAAAAAAGCCGGAAGTGGCGCTGTGGCTCGAGTGGTAGAGCACTAGCCTTGAGCTGAAGAGCTGAGGGACAGCGCCCAGACCCAGAGTTCAGGCCCCACGACTGGACCCCCCCCCAAAAAAAAAGCTTCGTCCTTAGAAAAACCCAGAGATGGGACTTCCTGCTAAGCTCCCATATACTTTCATATACTGCTGTTAGAACACGGCATCAGGTGTACCATAGTCTTACCCATTATAGAAAAAAATTAAAAATATGACCAGTTAAAACTAAAGTTTGTACCCAATTCTCAGGTTATACTGAAAATAAAGATGGCATTTTCCTGATTTCATCTTTCTCTGAAACTCTGTTCCAGATTAACTATTCTAGGCAACTTTGGGCCCCAACACTAAACCTCCTGCCTAACAAGAAAGTAGAGGTGAAATATTGGTTGGTTGAATGACAATCCTGATGTTATTAAAACCAATAATAAGAAATGGATGGCTTATATACACAATGGAATTCTATGCCTCCATCAGAAAGAATGACGTTGCCCCATTTGTTAGGAAATGCAAAGACTTGGAAAAAATTATATTAAGTGAAGTAAGCCAGGCCCAAAGAAACATAGGTCCCATGGTTTCCCTTATTTGCAATAACTAGTATATGTCTGAGACAAGCAGAAACGGTCAGATAAGTTGATGTTAGGCAAAATGAACCCCAAGGTAAGGATTCAAATGTTTTTTTCTTTCTTGTGATTGTTTCTAACATATTTATAAGATGATTTCTTTGTTGCTTTATATGTCTCTCCCCCACGGTACAACCCCTGTTTTCATTGTATTTGATGTTGGTATAACCTGTGGAGGGGAAGGGAAAAACAAACTGTTTAAATATGGATACATGTGGACCCATTGCAACAATGAGATGTACAAGACATTATGTCGAAAACTTTGGGTGGGGGGATGGGAAGGGGAAACAAAGGAGAAGGCAACAATGCTTGATAAGAAATGAACTTATTACCTTGCCCATGTAATTGTAACCTCTCTGTATGGTATTTTCACTATAAAAAAAATGGATGGCTTTCTAGTAGTCATGTTAAGGAATGTCTAGCTATCTAATAGCTAGGCAGGATCATCTAACTTCCTAATTCTGCTTGTATAATTGAATTGTAGCAGATCTCTTTAACCCATTCCCTGCTACTGCCTCTAGTGACAGACATTTGAGTAACAGGCAAGACAAATTATCAGACTATATATACTTGATGAGAGTTGAACATTCTCTTGCTCTCCTGTGTCTGCCCCAACTGTTGGTACAAAGCTGCCCCTTGATCATTGTATCAGATGAACAAGAAAGGATTGAAAGAAAAATGCTTAGATGAACTGGGCACTGTTGAATAGGAGAAAGGAGTAGGAATTAGGGTTAGAGATCTTCATGTATTTCATTCCTTTTGATTATTTATAATACTGAATAAGTCATTTTATCCTAATGGCTTTAGTTTTCTTATCTGTAAAAGCATCTGTTTTTATTCCAAGACTATCTTGAGCATTAAATGCAAGAAGACAGATGGGTATGGGTACTAATAGGAAGGGGAGCATGAAGAGAAAGTGAAGGAGGGTGAAAATGGCCAATATGTACATCTGTGTTTGAAAAGGAAAAATGAATCTTGGTTTGGAATGAGGAGAGAATAGGAAGGGAGAAGGAGAATGACAGAGGGGATAAGTCTGACCAAGGTACTCTGTATGCATATATGGACATGTCAGAATGAAACCCTCTTGTACAACTAATTCCTGCTAATAAAAAATGTGGGGCAGGGGCTGGGAATGTGGTTTAGTGGTAGAGTGCTTGCCTAGCATGCATAAAGCCCTGGGTTTGGTTCCTCAGTACCACATAAACAGAAAAAAATGGAAGTGGCACTGTGGCTCAAGTGGTAGAATGTTAGTCTTGAGCAAAGGAAGCTCAGAGACAGTGCCCAGGCCCTGAGTTCAAGCACCTGAGTTCAAGGAATGGAAAAAAAAAATATGGGGCAGGTGAGCCAAGATAGGTAGAAGTTGTCTACAAACTGTTAAGGAATTCAAAAGCATAAGACTGAGTGAACACAGGTAGAATGAAAAAGATCAACAGAGGAGACATGAAATCTGGGAAGAAATGAGATTGAATCATGATGTAAAATTCTAGAGGAAAAGATGATTGACACCCAGTGAAGGATAAAAATGAGATAACAGCAGGAACAGGAGGAGTTAAGAGGGAGATCAGTCACATTGCCATTTAAGGTGGGATCTGAGGAATAACTGATAGGCTTTGCTTACTAGACTTTATCAAGCAGGAGTGGCTGTGGCTAGGAGAGAAGGCTAGAATCACATGTGGCAGGGAACAGGCCCACTTACAATAGAAAGGTTACTTGGAATAGTTTCTTTCTGTCCCCCTCCCTCTCTCAGTTCAAAATGGAAAAAATACCTCTGTATTTTAAGATAAAGAGATATGCTTTAGTTTGCACCAGAAAACAATGAAACCAAAGCCCAGTCATTTCAAGATAATCAGACAGCAGACGGAAGAAATGGGTCAAGACATGGATGTCTAAAAGAACATCTGCTTTGCTTGCATTGCAGAGAAATGGCCAATTTAAATGGAAATGACTGATTTTCCACTAATTTCCATTCTGCCTTTGATTACCACCGTGATTCTAGTTGTGAGCATTCATATTGTCTATTCAATTATAAACAACAACAACAAAAAAACTTGACCACATTAAGACTGCTTCTCACTTAAAACAGAGTAATGTTTTTGCAAGCTCAAAGAAATCACATTAGCTCTGAAAAGCCAACGGATCTCATTTTGCTGGCAAATGAAAGGGCTGCCTTTGTGTCCTAAGCATAACTATGAAAATACGACTGCTACAAGGCTGGGCTAAGCCTGGGCTGAGCCCAGTTCTGAGCCACCCTTCTCAAGAGCCATTCTCACATTCCCAGGGAAAACAAACACAAGAGGTATAAAAACACCCAGAGAGGGTGGCTTTGAGTACTTTGTCCTAGAAAAACAAATACAACTTGGTCTGTGAGAAAGACGGCAGACAATAAAACACGTTAGCACTGCTTGCTGGTAATGTGTGGTAAGACTAAATATTTACTTTAAAACAATACTAGATTCAACAGTTTTTATGGGAGCAACACACACTTTTGGAATAATAAGGGGGTCTTACTATGATTCTTTTGGAACACAGGGCAGAACTCCAAATAGTCCAGGCTAAAGCAGCATGAGGTCATTGGCAGAATTAACCCAAGTTCAGAGATAAATTGATTACTACCTGTTGATTAATAAAGAGTAGCAATTGACAGTTGCCATTCTTAACTAAGAGAGCAGTTAAGAGTCACTTGGTATGTTATGTACATCATCTTTACAATAAAAAAATCACTTGGGTGGAAAATGTCATCCAACGTCACATGTTTGTATTATACCCAGGATATTTGGCTCACTGAGTCTTCAGTTGCTTTTGAATTAGAATGTAGACATGTTTGTTCAGATGAAAATAGAATCTAAGCCTCAGTTCTCACATCAATTTCTGATGTCCTTTTGATAGCAATACTGATGGTGAAAGAGGTGAAGAAAATAAAGGATTAGAAAACCCACAGTGACCTAGAATGTTAGGGTTTGGAGAGAAAAAAAAAATCACATTCAAAAATCTTTGGAAATGTGAAAGAACTTAGGAGACTGAATACTCACCAAAGCAATTATAATTATGAGCTAGTAATTAAGGTTAAGCACTATCTGCACACTTCCTATGTAGACTTGAAAGAGAAATAGTTTCCTGGAGTTGACTCAGGCTCACACTGAGAATTACCAGGGCAAAGATTCCAGGTAAATGATTACTTTGGAGTATTGACTCAGTGTTCTGGTCAAAGGGAGACAATCTTTTGAAGTGGTTTTCCATTTTAACAGTGTGCTGTGGGGTCACGCAGGCAACCAACCATCTGACAGGCTTGAACACACTGATCTGTGATCTCAAGCTGAGCTGTGAACTCCTGGGCAGGAAGCCTAGTCTCGGAGCTATCTCAGCACCTTCCAATATCTCAGTCTCCACCTTCTAGAAGTCAGCCTCACTTGATCATCATCACTCTGTAGTGGAGCTCCTCTACAGTACTGATGGGGTGGGAGATCCCTGCCTTTCCTCAGATTCTCTGATCCTCTATCTATACAAGCCAGGAAGCTTTTGGACAGAAAGCCATACCACCTCACAGCTGGTTTCAAACTCACTGATAGTAGCCTTCTCACGTCAGCAGGAAACCTAAAGTCCCAATCCAATTGTGCAGACACTCTGACCTATATGTCCATTGCCTTCTTTCTTCCTAGCTTCCTTCTCCTGTCCCTCTCTGTCTCCCTCCCATGTCCAAGCTACAGAACTAATTATACCAAGCTACATACGTTTACAAATGCACCAAGATCTTTCTTCATGGCCTTGCACTAATTATGCTCTTTGCTTAGAATGCTTCCTCCTCCAACACAACATCCATGAGATATCAACTCCTGTGGCAAGTCCTTCCTGATCCCTTTACCCCAACATACACCAAGACTAACATGTTGCCATGTTGTACAGAAATTGTTTGTTTTGTCTCTCTGCTGCTTCTGAGCCTAAATGCTAAAATGACAATGGCTGTGCTTGCTTTGCTGTTGAACTCACAGTGCCCGGGGCATTGTTGGCATTCAAAATAGATGTTGAATTGAATGCTAGTTGGCAGTGTGTCCTGAACATGTAATCACACACATTATAATTACATAGCAGCTGTGAAGCCCTGGATTTCTTTTATTTCCTTTTTTTTTTTTTTTGCTCTTTTCTTTTAAGATTGGAATTTTCAGAAAAGTGAAAGGAAATTAATGGGCATTTAATATGCTGTAAACACTGATCACAAAACACTTAATAAAGCAATCACACAAAAGTCAGGCTCATGTGGTAAAAGATTACACACCTAGGGCCAGAGCCGACATTCAAATCTTCTGTCCTTTATATTATATGACACGAGTTCTACAGTATTCAGAGATGGGGCCTTGAGGCAATACTTAGAATGCAATCCCCAGCAGTTCTTACTCTGTCACTCTGGGTCTTTACTTACATTTGCTGTCAGCTGGGTAGTCAAGGCTGAAACTTTCTCCTGGGAGGCATCCAGTTCCCGCCTCAGTTTGCGAATCTAAAAGTGACAAGCACAATTATTTGCTTGTGAGCCCATCTCCAAACTGAGCTGAGGGAATTAATTGATAGTAGTGAAAGAAAAGATCCAACCAGCAAACTGTTCCTTACCTCTGACTGGCATTTTTCTTCTGGCTGCAAATAAAGCATAAGGGATATTAGACCAGTTAAGGAACATGGAACAATTCAGCCAGCCAATGGTGAACATCAAATTTGGAAACTTATAACCACCTGAATATTGATTAGCTTATTTTCTGGTACATTTCTCTGGGCAAACGGTTTCTACCAAATTGACCCATCAGAATGGAAAAATATAAACATTCTCTTATTTTAACAGATAAAGAATTAGAATGATGTTCCAACTGTTTTAGTTGTGAGGATCTACCCTGCCTTCCTCTGAAGATATAATAAGGTAAGGCACTCAGAAGATGTGTGATAGGAAAGGCCTGAGTTAGCAAATTCAATATAGGACACCCAGTTAAATTTAAGTAGGCTTTTGGCTCCCTTCCACATCTTTTAGATGGAACCCATGGCCTTCATACAAGAACCCAATGCTTTCCAGGAGCCAGTCAGTGGCTCACGCTTAATCCTAACTACTCAGGAGGCTGAGATCTAAGAATTGTGATGCAAGGCCATCCTCTGGCAGAAAAGTCCATGAGATTCGTATCTCCAGTTAACCACCAAAAAGCTGGAAATGGAGCTGTGGCTCAAGAGGTAGAGCACTCGCCTTCAGCCAAAAAAAAACCACAGTGACCAGGCCCTGAATACAAATGCACATGTGCATGCACACATGCGCACGCGTGCACACATACATAGAAAAAGAGAAATGAAAAAGAAAAAAGAACCCAGTGCTAGAAAAGAATTCTACAACTGAGCTACAAGGGCACACTTATGTTATATATATATATATATATATATATATAGCTTATTTGAAATTCAAATTTAATTGGTGTTCTATATTTTGTCTGGCAACCTAGGTGTCTAGGACTGCTCCTAAGCTGGTTCTGTCCCCATTTCATCTTCATCTGCTACCTATGGAACCATACCAGGGAGAGAACAGGGCAAAGACCTCATAGTAGGAACCCCAATTCTGCCAACCTGATAACCACATAGGTTGTAAAAATCAATATGGCTCCATCTTCCTCCTGGGCCACTCTGGGCATTTCCTGGATGCTTGCCTCCACCAAAGACTGTTCTAAGCCTTTACTACTCATTAATTCCTTGTAACAATCCTTAGTAGATATGAATATTGTTTTAAGAAATTAGTATCACGGAATGCTAAAATAATTTGTCCATATTCATAGTTGGTTAAGTGAGAGAGCGGTGATCATCAAAGGCAGTGTGGTCCCAGAACCTGTAATCTTAACTGGCACATTGTCTTGTTCTTTTGTTCTTTTGCTATAGCTCCATTCGCATGGAAGCTTTCCAGGACTAAAGCCGCTGACCCTCAAGTCTGTCCAAAAGAGAAAGTGATGAGAATGTCACAGCTATTAACAATGGACAGGCTGGTAGAAGCCTGTTAACAGACTGAGCCATCCACATAGGACTACTTTTAAACAGGTGTCTTGACAGTCCTTTTCCATTTTTGCCATCATCTGTCCCTATGCCCCCACCTGTCTCTGACTTCTCAACAGCACCTTGAAGAAGTCATGTGCTTTATATCTTGTCCCCAGTTACTTCCCGTACATGTGCAAATCCTACATGGAGCTGTGGGCTACTATCCATCCAGCAGGTGCACTGACTGGCCTCTCAGATTTTTCCTTTCCTACTGGCCATGACTTGACCATGGGCAATTACTTTGCATCATGGTGTCTTTTCTTTCATATGTAGTTAAAGGGGCTGGGAATGTGGCTTAGTGGTAGAATGCTTGTCTAGCATGCATGAAGCCCTGGGTTTGTTCCTCAGTACCACATAAACAGAAAAAGGCAGAAGTGGCACTGTGGCTCAAATGGTAGAGTGCTAGCTTTGAGTAAAAGAAGCTCAGGGACAGTTCTCACACACACACACACACACACACACACACACACACACACAGTACATTTGTAGTTAAAACTGTACATAAATTTGGAGCAGAAGGAGCACTCTTGAATATCCAAGAATCATAAGTTTCAAGATAAGAACCTGCTGTCTTCTGGAGACTGTAAGGTTTTCAGTATTAAAAGGTGTGTGTGTGTGTGTGTGTGTGTGTGTGTGTGTGTGTGTGTGTGTGTGTGTGTGTGTGTGTGTGTGTGTGTGCCTATGGCAATTAAAGAGACTCAGGTGATGTCTTAGACAGTAAACAAGAATTTTTCACCATAACATTTACACAGGTGCAGGAGCAGTGTTTCTGTATCTCATCACTAAGAAGCTAATAATAGATAAGAGACCACATATCACTCCTAGGTGGTAGCACAGTCTATCCAGACTCAGTTTTACTTGCTAGACAAATTAGCGTGAAAATATTTAAATGTTAGGTTTTGTTTTGAAGCTGCAAAATCAACCATTTTTCTAATAGAAGGTACATTTAAGAACGATAAACATCCTTTGATTCCATAATTCATGGAAAGTCAGAGGTTATGGGGATTATCTTGCTCAACTTCCTGACAGGGAAGGCAAAACTGAAGCACTCTAAATAACAAGGTAATTTGCCCAAAGTTGAGGTAAGAATATTTTCTTGCTATTAATATAAATTTGGAATTCAAACTTGATAATTTATTGAATTTTTATCAGTTCATGTAAACACTGTCTTCAGAAAACACACCCAGAACAGCAATTACTGGAAGATGGGTTTTGTGATGATAGCTTCTAGCAATTGGCCCAAAGTGGGTGCCTGAGGATTTACCTGTGATGGTTCCCTAGATGTGAAGGAGTTCATGCTCTTTTCTTCACATATTCCACTCCTATGGACAGGGCTTCCCCTGTTAGTGTTGATAAAGCTCCTGGGATGGCCACTGGAGAAGCAGTGAGATATTTGCTGTGGCTTCCAGGCACCAGCCCTGGGAAGCTTGAGGCCCAGGTCCTAGGTGCCCTAGGTGGAGTCTCTAGCTTCCTCTTTCTTAGTGGGATCCTTTTTCCTCAAACCTTTACTCCCATGGCTTGGTCTAGATCCTTGCACATTAGTGGTGTTGATAAATAAATACTACTGAAAAAGTAGACTTCAATTTGGCAATTTCATTTTTGGTAGCCATATCCCAGAGGTTTTTGTTTGTTTGTTTTTGGTAAGAAAATTTGGTGGAGCTTTATTGAGTAAGTAAGCAAGCAGGCAAGCAGACAAACATAAACAGAAAGGAGGAGGCACACTCTAGCAGAGTGTGGGTGCTCTCAAAGGAAGAGAGATACACAAAGTTTTATTCTAGAAAAAAGTTTATCTATCAGCTAATGGTTAGAAGACCATCTCCAAGCTTTCTTAGCAGATAATGGCTTAAATGAGCCTTCCCTGAGATTACTACAGATAAAAACCTTAAGATGAAAGACAGGATCCGTGATAAAAATTTCAAAGGAGATGATAAACTAGAGAGAGAAATTTGGGAGCTGGTGAGGTGAAGTAGCAAGAATAGAAACAAGAGTTTGTAGGTCCTTCAAGTCAGACCCTCTGAACAATCACTGGAGTCTTTTGGCTCACTCTAGTCATAAGAAAAAACAAATGGGCCTTTAACTTGATTCTGGCACAATCTTTTATTTTCAAGGACTGTACAGTTAATTCTATTACATAGCCCAGAAACTTGGCACTATCAAATCCCGAATTACTAAAACATGTGCTTCCATTCAATTAAAGGCTAAAAAATTAATAAAGATTTTTAAATTGTTGTTCCTGTAAGCATTTCCAGATTAATGTCTTTAAGACAATGTATAGGTATAAAAAGCACTACTGAACCAATCAAAAAGTACTGAAAATCCAAACGTACTTAATTATACTTGACTCTTGTTCTGTAGGACCCTCGTTGATGACATCTAGTATTTAGGAATGTTTTACTCTGAGCTATGTGTACATATTTATTGCTTTTCATAGATTTCTTTCAAACTTATTTTTTGAATGGCTATTATGTATGAAGCACTGACTTAGGTACTAAAAATGAAAATTAAAGTTTTTATCTCTAGGAGTTTATATTGTAAATACAATCCTCAGAAAACCTAATCCGCACTATAATTCTGTAAAGTAGGGACAGCTATTCTTTCTACTATACAGATAAACTGAGGCAAACAGAAAAAGCTCACTTTTAGCAGGGCACTGGTAGCTCATGCCTATAGTATTAGTTACTCAGGAGACTGAAATCTGAGGATCGCAGTTCAAAGCCAGCCAGGGCAAGAATGTCTGTGAGACTCTTATTTCCAATTTACCACCAGAAAACCAGAAGTGGAGCTGTGGCTCAAAGTGGTAGAGTACCAGCCTTAGCAAAAGAGCTCAGGGACAGTGCCCAGGCCCTGAGCTCAAACCCTGTAATTTCTCCTTCAAAAAAGAAAAAGAAGAAGAAAAAAGTGAGCTTTTCTTTTTCAGCAGGTACCCAAAACTATTCACATACTCTACTTTGTTACAACCCAAAGCACAATTTGATTTTAACAAAGCAGCTAGTGCATGGTGTATCATAATAAATAGTTATTTGTGAATTTCAAATCATATCCCTGACTAATGGATCCTCTTATAATGGAAATGCTCTCTTCCAGAGAAATGCTAATATTTTATTCTTGACACATTTGATAAAAGTACCCAAGTTCCCTAGATCATAGTCATACAGCATTGATTTATACTCACTGTAGAATAAATGGACGATGTGCTGGAAACCAGGGACAGTGAGGATCCATGAACTGTGGAAAGAAAAAGAAAAGGTGATTGCACATTGCCTACTATAGAACCATATAAACAGGGGAGGAGAGGAGGAAACAGCTGCAGGACATTATGGGGCTCAGCATGGCCCAAGGTTGGTGACTTCTGACCAAAGGACAGTATCAAATAATTTGCTATCACTACATTTTTCTTATGACCTGCTAAATACAGTTTTCTTAACTATTAAAATAAGATATGGTTGCAGATTAGCAGTGTTCAAGTGCACAAAAATGTTAAGAAGCAGATTCATCATAACTTGTAATGGCTCTTAATTTCACCACACAGAGGCAACCTGCTACCATTTCAGAATATTTCATCCCACTCTTTTCCCCTCACTAGGGTTGAGATTGTGTTGCATATATTTATTTTTCATACCTTACTGTCAGCTGTCACTTGTATGGGCAAAAAGAAGAGCAGATTATTTTGAACTTAAAGGACTGTTGGCCATAGTAAACTCACTTTAGATGAACACAAAGCAGAATTATTAGTTTAAAAAAGATATGCAGTTAAGTATAAGTTCTTCCATTTCCATGTGCACAAAGTGACAAGGACTATCCTCTTTTCCTGTTCTAGAACAGAACTTTGGATTCACAACCTTTAGTTACCACCCTCCCCCTTCCTGTCTCTAGCCAGTAAAGCCATTTTACTAATTGTTCTAATGGTAAATCATGGTCTTTTCTCGAACAGAGTATTCTGGCTACATTCTTTATGTGGAAGCCAAGTTCTTATTGTCTTAGCAACCTCTTGAACTTGTTTGAAAGGTAGAACCATTCCTCTTTTAAAGCCTTCACAGGCCTTCCAATGGCCCACAGCTCTCCTGACCCTAGGAAACATCTATATTCCCATGCATCTCACCTGTGTGGGATAAACTGTGGCCTGAAGCAGGAGGTTGAGGAGTGATTTTCCACATGCACTAACCGCCCAAGTAGAAAACCTCAACTTGGCTTAACTACTGGCAGAAGCAAACTGCCAACAAGGTATCTGATGAACAGCTTTGCCTAACACTCAGGCAACCTGTCTGTGGTTTTTTGTTTTTTGTTCTTTTTTTTTTCCAGTAACCCTTCCCTGACCTTTCGTTCTTTCTTGTGTGTTCCTATCACATCATGCATTCTTGTAGTTCCTCCCCATCATTCTCTATATGGTACTTTTCCTCTTCCATGTTTTTGCCAATGCAGTTCTCTTTGCTTACGGCTTCCCAGTACCGCCTATCTGAATCAGGAGCAGTTCCTCATGAGGCCTTCCTTTTTTCCCTGACTACCACCAGCAAAGGCTTCCCCTGTCCTTTACCCACACAGTCTTTGGCTTGTCATTCCCATCCATTCTTCTTAGCAATGTTGAGCTTAGATCTTTACCTCAATCCCTGACAGTCTGACTCATGTCTCATAAAAAAAAGTTTAAGATGTTAATGGCCAACAGTGTTTTTCAGTATTAATATGTTCACATATTCACAAAGGTTTCAAAAGCCCCTACCTAGCAGCCGAATGTTCCAAAAGAGTAACTCCTTTCAGGTCCATGACCCAGGACTATAGCAAAGGTAGAATATGGGAGTTGGGGCCACCCTTCAATCACACTTGTGCAACAAGCCTGCCCAAAGCTGTGGTATGGACTTGACTGTTGGAAATAGTGTTCTTTCTTCAATTCCCATTTCTCACACACATAAACTCATTGTAATCTTGGGGCCAAACGCAGATGAACACATCTGGCAGGCTTCATGTGAAGGTCACTATTTTTCTCTGTAATTAACTCCTCTTACTTGGTAAACAGCAACAACAATGCTGTAGTCCAAACAAATGCTCTTTGAATTCCAGAGTTAATCCAAACCTGAACCTTGTGTATGTGGAATGGATCCTTTTGGACACTAAGATGCTGTTAAGAGTTATAAAACCCAAATGGCTAAAACATATCATGTGCTTTTCCTCTTTGCACCTCCACAATTTTATGGAGAATATCTAGGCCATCTCTGTCATTGTGGAAAATGAAACTCAGAATGACTGAATGACTTACTTAAGATCACATTGTAATTGAATAATAGGATCTGTGGACTAGGAGTTTGTGGACTACCCTACCCTTAAATGATCTATTTTACTGGGTTTATTTATTTGCTTATTTGTTTTTAAAGCCTTTTGTTATCATCTATACAAAGGCAGAAACAAGGACTAAGGTTTGAGAAGAGGTTTAGGTAGAGATAGAACCATTAGACAGCAAGGAACATGTGGACGTATTCTAGCTAATAAAGTAATTGAGTACCTCTGATTCTCTCCCTCTCCTCCTCCCTCTTTCTTTATACAGCTTTATACAAATTACAGCACTTCCTTATTAAGACTATTATTTGTATTGATCCTCATCATCTTAGGAGAATTTTCAGGTTACAATCTCAAGGTATGCAGGAGTTTCTAACCTTAATCAGTGAACATACTAAGGTCCAGAACAGTGAGGTACCATGAATAAGCATATAGCTCTCAGGAGCAGGAGAATGTGAATCTAAGGCATCGGCTCCAGTTTTCATTCCACAGTCAGGTACTATGGAAAGCGTCAGGGAAAGCATAATAAGGAAGAGAATATCTAGGACCAGAGTTTGCCTCAGGTCAACAAAATAAAGGAACCCAAGTGAACCAGAAGTCAAGGAACTCAGTACAAAGACAGAGAGCAATGAATCAAGAAGTTTAGGATCTCTTTCTGGCTACAAGTACCTTCAGTTCCAATTTTGTCATTAAAAAAAGAAAAGATGACAATGGCCCTTGGGGAGAAGGATACAAGGTAACAACTACAACAATAGCTACCATTGATTAAGCACTTAACAATAAGCCCCTTTCTTAGTTATCTGCCAAATGCTTTCCAGGATTTACCTTGCCTAATCTATACTTCAGTCCCCTGAGGCAAGTACAATTATTACCAGCATTTTAGTGAATAGGAAAGAGGCAGATTAGGGTCAAGTTCATTACAGAAAGTCACAATGCTAAACTGTAGAAGTGTTGAGATTTCTATTACATTGTAACTCAGGAGTTAGAGACACTAATCATCATGGGATTTTTTTTTTTTTAGTCCAAAGAAAGACATCCTTTTTTTTCTTTTTTTCTTTTGGTGGGATGTGGGTCTGACCTCTCCCTCAGCTCTTCAGGTTAAGGCTAGTAGTGCTCTACCATTTGAGCCACAGTGCCACTTCCAGCCTTTTCTGCTTATGTGGTGCTAAAGAATCGAACCCAGGGCCTCATACATGCAAGGCAAGCATTCTACCACTGAGCTACCTTCCCAGCCTGACATGCTTTTTTTTTGTTTTTGCCGGTTGTGGGGCCTGAACTTCGGGCCTGGGTACTGTCCCTTCAGCTCAAGGCTAGCACTCTACCATTTGAGCCACAGTGCCACTTCCAGCTTTTTCTGCTTATGTGGTGCTGAGGAATTGAACTCAGGGCCTCATGAATGCGAGGCAAGTGCTCTACCACTGAGCCACCTTCCCGGCCCGTGACATCCATTTTTAAAAGGCCTCAAGCATCCTTATAGTGAACATACTAAAGTTGATTTAAGATTGCATCATATGCCTGCTGTAAATTAATACACCTCAAATAACTTTTGAAAAGTTTTATCTGGGCCTTGCTTGTATCTATCTACACAGTAATGATCCCTACTTCCATCAAAATAAAAACTGTTAATTAAATTGCACAATCTCAGACAAATATGTATGCCAATTCTTCCTAAATTTTTATCTCAGTTAATGACATAGATATACTGGATGGTTACAAGAAGGTTACACTTGGTCCAAGTATGAGACATAATTTTTTCCTTAGCTATTTCTGAGGGAATTAAAATTCCAAATAATACAAACTCAGTGATTGTTGTGTAATAAAATAGCTTTGGAATGAAACCAATCTGATAACAAAGGAAGATAAAAATGTTGTATGTTTAAGATGAAAATGTTATATGTTGATAGTACATCAAGAGCATCCCTACCTCTTCCCCCAAAGTCTAAATTTTACCCTTTTCAGTCCTGTGTCATCGTGAATCATTATGCTTATAAAAGTCTAGACACTGCTTGTAGACAAGCACTTTTAATCAATGTCAGTTTGACAGCCCACCTATTCCACAGTTGAGCTGCCTGACAGTTTGATTCCAGATGGGATAAATAAAAGCTATCTAACGATGATACCATATTGGTCCTGGGCCTTTATGAGCAATGTGTGCTTGTTTGGACAAGTTTTAGTGCTGAACATGATTCACTCAGGTGCATGCACGACAAAAAAGATGAATACACAAGACACACAGCACAAGACATACTCCATATGCAAGAGGAACACGATGCGGCCAGGCTCAGCTAGCATATGGACCAGAAAAAAATTCAAGACAATTTGCCTCCTCCCTTCCCTTAGCATCAGGATATCCCTTTACTATAATGAGTGGTTATAGTATTAATTTCCAGGTCTTAAATCTAAGAGAATGTCCTCAGCCACTCAGGCTCCTTGCTTCTTAATCATCTGTGCTAGTGCTTCCCATATATGGATTTACAGAGTTAAGTCTGCTCACTGCATGTCACTGGATGCAAATGATACATAAATCAGGGGTCGCCAAGTACTGAGTCGCCATGAAGATTAACTGAGAGCAACTGTTTTGTAACTAAAGCCTTTAAATCTTCTGTTAAAGAAGAACACTCAGCAAAAGTAGATATCTTCTCTCCCTTTGATATGGGATTTCCTAAACAATCACAACTCTATTTGTTCTTTCCTATTAGAAAGATGTTGGGTATATTTCCACACTCACATTAAGACAAATTTGGAAACAGAAAACAGTAGCTGCAACTCACCCCCTACATTCTGTTTTTAGTATAAGGGCACAAATACCGGTAAAGCCCTCAGCCTGGGCTCTAGAATCCTCATCCTCTGCTACTTTGAGCTGCTGAGGAGCAGAACACGACATGTCATAACATTATTGTGCTAACATTTATACTTATTGTCTCAGCTAATTCTTAAAATTCCATCAGATGAATGCTATTATTATTCTCATTTTTTTCAGTGAGAAAACAGAAACACAGAAAGGTGAAGCAACTTGTTGGAGATGATTTACCTAAAGAAAAATGGAGCTCCCTAAAATTTGTTCTTCTAACTCTATATTATTATTGTTGTTTTTGTTGTTGGTGGTGTGTGTGTGTGTGTGTGTGTGTGCGTGCGTGCGTGTGCGTGCGCCGTGCGCGTGTGTGTGTGTGTGTGTGTGTGCTGGTCCTTGGCATCCTCCCTGAGCTTTTTTTTGTTCAAGGCTAGCACCCTACCAGTTGAATCACAGCTCCACTTTTGGCTTTTTGGTAGTTAACTTGAGGTAAGAGTCTCATGGACTTTCCTGCCAAACCTAGCTTTGAATAAAGATCCTCAGATCTTAGCCTACTGAGTAGCCAAGACTACAAGCATGAGTCACTGGTGCCTAGCCTCCATATTCTTTTTTTTTGGGGTCCGGTCGTGGGCCTGAACTCTGGGCCTGGGAGCTGTCTCTCAGATCTTCAGCTCAAGGCCAGCACTCTACCACTTGAGACACAGCGCCACTTCTGGCTTTTTTTTTTTTCTGCTTATGTGGTGCTGAGGAATTGAACCCGGGGCCTCATGCATGCAAGGCAAGCACTCTACTGCTGAGCCACCTTCCCGGCTCCTAGCCTCCATATTCTTTTGTTTATTTTCTTATGGTGCTAGGGATCAAAACCAGTATCTTATTTTGCATATGCCAGGCAAGCACTTTTCTACAGAGCTATATCCCCTACATGATTCCATTTTACTAACCTTTGATCACTGATTACCATCTCCAGAATTCTATAAGCCTAATCTTTGGGGATGTAGGTGATGTTACTACACAGAATTTTGACTACCTGCTCCCATCTAACTCATATCTCAGGTGAAGAAACAAAGGGAAAGAGAAATGAAATGAGTGATCAGGATGGCTGACAAAGCTGTCTACAGAACTTTCCTTCCATAATTCTGATGAAAATGAACAAAACATAAAAATCCCAACATTTATTGTTGGCAACCAAAGAAAGTAAAGGGCAAAACTTAGTGCAATAAAAATTTAAAACTAGGGCTTGAGAAGAGACAAGAAATACTGGGGCAGAATAGAGAGGCTCAGCTGACTGGTCCCAAAGCTGTAGGCTGTACCAGCATAGGGAGATGTACCCTGCCAAGAGGGTGAGCCAGTGGTTGGTCCTTAAGGTGAAGTACATGCCAAGAGCTGTGGCTCAAGATCAGGACAGAAAAGCCTAGAGCAGAAGGCAGTCAGTGCTAAGGGCTATCAATATGTTTTTAGCAACTTTGCCATTAAATCCTGGAAAGTTAATTAAAGGTCAGATTTTACTATTCAGAATTCACCACAGTTCCAGAGAAGAAAGAATTGGAAGCACTTAAAAGGTGGAGTCTCAGGACTATTAGGTCAACTTAGTACAAAGGGCTATCATGCTGTGCACTACCAACAAGTGACCTAGGAGACAGTGAGTCTCCTTTCTTACCTTCTTCGAATCCATCCCTGAAGGAGCCTGATCGGCTCATGGTTCTGCTTTTCTCATCCAGAGACATAGAGCTATTCCGGAAGCGGCTGTCAGTGTAGGGGTCATACTGTCCATCAGCATTGGACAGACTGTGGGTCCTCAGCATGGTTGGGTTTGACAGGCTCATCTGGGTGGCAGTGGTGGGACTCGCTGGAATGAAAGGAGTAGAATCAAATGTTGGAAAACTTACAGCTCTGTTTAAATCCCAGATGGGGACAAAGAAGAGATTGCTTATCACTAGCCATACATATTCCTGCCAATTCCTCTCCCTTGTCTATTTTCTAAAAAGGTAGTTGCATCAGCGTTGGAGTATATACATAGAGCTAAAAATATGGGAGGGAAGGCGGGTCAGTTCCAAAACAAGGCTCTGGGCCTCAGCGTTCCAACTTGGCACGTTCAGGCAAGCCAGTGTCACCTTCCAGGCATGAGCTAATTACTCCCCGGGCTCATCTGGAACAATCTCTCTAAAGCCAAAAGCCCAAAATAGAGCAATGAGGCTTTTGATCAGATGGGAAGCATTTGTGTATGACAAGAACCTCTTGCTGCAAAGAGTTATGGCTGAGAAAGAACAATATGAACCCAGGTCTTACTGCCTTTGATGGGGAATGTTTAATAATAGTTGTCTGAACAGCTTCAACACAAAGAGGAACACTTCCCTTTGTGCTCTCCGATTGAATCTGTGTTAGCAATGCACAATATTTTTTGAGGCAAAGAGTTTAAGCTCACTTGAACACAAGCCACAACTATCCCTAAAGATTGCCTTTCTTGTATGGTTTTTTTTTTTTTTTTTTTTGGTCGGTCATAGAGCCTGAACTCTGGGCCTGGGTGCTGTCCCTCAGCTCTTCAGATCAAGGCTAGCAGTATACCACTTGAGCCACAGCATTACTTCCAGCTTTTTCTGCTTATGTGGTGATGAGGAATCGAAACTAGGGCCTCATGTATGCAAGGCAAGCGCTCTACCACTAAGCCACCTAGAAAAAGTCTGAAGTGAACTCTAACAACTACAGATGCTAGAGGGGATGTGGACAGAAAGGAACCTTACTTCATTGTTGGTGGGAATGTAAACTTGTTCAACCACTTTGGAAAGCAGTATGGAGGTTCCTCAAAAGACTTCACATAGAACTCCCCTATGACCCAGCAATCCCACTTTTGGGCATTTACCCAAATGTTTACAAACAAGACCACACTAAAGCTACCAGCACAACTATGTTTATTGCAGCATTATTTACCATCGCTAAGATATGGAACCAACCCAGATGCCCCTCAGTAGATGAATGGATCAAGAAAATGTGGTATATATACACAATGGAATTCTATGCCTCCATCAGAAAGAATGACATTGCCCCATTTGTTAGGAAATGGAAAAACTTGGAAAAAATTATATTAAGTGAAGTAAGCCAGGCCCAAAGAAACATAGGTCCCATGGTTTCCCTTATTTGCAATATCTAGTATATGTATGAGTCAAGCAGAAAAGGTCAGATAATGTGATGTCAGGAAAATGAACCCTTAGATATGTATTTTAATGTTTTTTTTCTTTCATGCATGTGTTTCTAACGCATTTATAAGATTATCTCTTTGTTGCTTTGTATGTCCCTCCCCCACAGTATAACCCCTGCTTTCACTATATTTGATGTCAGTATAACTTGTGGAGGAGATGGGGAAAAACCAGTTGTTTAAGGATACAGGTGGACCTGTTGCAACAATGAGAAGCACAAGTTGTCATGTCCAAAACGAGCTTTACAACATTGGTGGGGGGGGGGGAGGGAGGGGGGAAGGAGAAGGATTGGGATTGGGGGGGGAGGGGGGAGGCTGGGAAGTGATGTGAAGGGTAAACAAAGGAGGAGGCTGCAATGCTTGGTAAGAAATGTACGCATTATCCTGCCCATGCAATTGTAACCCCTCTGTACAGTATGTTCACAAATAAAATAAGATTAAAAAAAAAAAGAAAAAGTCTGAAGTGAGTCTAGAAACCCTTTCCCGCCCCACCCCACTCCCACCGCCCTCAAATCATTCTTCCAAACTCAGTTCCATCCTATCACCTTCAAGTAACTTTGGCCAATAATGTCAGCAAGCACCAAGCTGTCCTTTTTCTAACTGCATGTAATACTTATTACATTCAATTTGGACTGTTCTCTTTTGCCCTGTCTCATAGGTCTTCATGAGTGTGTCTGTCTCAACATAAAACAAAAAACAAAACAAGCCGGGCACCAGTGGCTCACACATGTCATCCTAGCTACTCAGGAGGCTGAGATCTGAGGATCTCAGTTCAAAGCCAGGAAAGTCTGTGAGACTCTTATCTCTAATTAACCACCAGAAAACTGGAAGTGGCACTGTGGCTCAAGTGGTAGAGTGCTCTCCTTGAGCTGAAGAGCTCAGAGACAGTGCCCAGGCCCAGAGTTCAAGCCCCATGACCAACCAAAAAGAAAAAACAAAGAAAAAAACCCACTGACATGCCAGCAGAGAGTGTGTTACAAATTCTTTTCCTTTCTCACTGTGCCAGTCAAAGCATTATGTCAGCAGCAGGCATTTCCAAGAATACTTATTCAATCAAAACTTCACTTTTACTTCCAGCTTAATAACAATAAGGGAGGCCAAGCTGTAAACACACTTCTTCAGGGGTCTGAGAAATAGAATGCATTCTCAAGAAAGGGATGGTTTGCTCTTTGCTATAACCTTACTTACATCAACCACAGGGGGAAAAAAAGACCAGAGTACCAAAACCTTTGCCATTTTCTCTGTCTTTTACTGTTGATCACCTATAATCAAACCACATTGTCAAGGACTAATCCGATCCTGAGCACATGGTGACCAGATGGGTTATGACCACACATCAAGAACCTCTAACTGATCGACACAGCTTATGGCAGAGGCTACTTACCAAGCTGGGAAAAGTTGAATCTTGTTCCAGAGGGGGAAGTTACACTGGAACCAGAGGAAAAGGGAGAATTGGCAGCTGTGTCCTGTAGACCTCCAGCAGAGTGGGACCGTAACCATTCTTTTGCGTCTTCCTGTGTGCGAAGCTGGGAGGTGGGAGTATACCTGGAGACAGAAACCAAGCTGGAATGAACTATGAACAGCATTCAGGAAAATGAACTCTCCGGAGCTGATGACAAGTATATAAGAAGAAAAAAAATATTTAAAGATGATTTTTTTAAATCAGCTTAATACACACCCTTGAAACTTACAAGGTTTCTCAAAATTCCCTCCAACCCCCCTACTTGGCTGTGTTTAGAGAAAATTACAATTCCTTTTAGTTTGCAAGGAATACCTAAAGGGAAGAAGATTGGTAAATGCTCAGAAGAGCCGTCACTGGGCGTAACTGTAACATGTTGATTCATGACAGTGTCATGTCAAAGCCCTCACCTTGACAGAACTAAGGCAACAAAAAGAGCTGCTGTTAGAGCTTCGAGGAAGTTTTAATTAGGTAACTCCTGGCATCTGCACTCTACAGCCCAAGTAAGTGGCCATGAATCACAGCACATTAGAGAGCAGGCTGTAGAGGCTGGCCTCACAAGTAGATGCTGCCTGCCATCTAGCACAAACAAGTTTTTGCAAAGATAGTTGGGTCTTCAACAGTCATGTGGCCCCTACCCTCATGCACTCTGAAATGTGTTTGGTAATGATTTATTAAAAATCTACAATGAGCCAGGCACTTTTACAGGCATTATTTAACTGAAGCCTCAAACCTACTGAGCAACACAGATGTAATTATTCCCATTTTATATTCTGGACTTAGGTGTTATGGAGTAACTGCTGATTATGTAATTAGGAGAACTGTTTGAAAACTACAGGCTTAAAAAAAGATATTGTTCTGTGATGTTATTGATGTTGTTGTTGTGTGATGTTGTTGTATTGTGTTGGCAGCCAGCTAGACAGAGAATGTCAGTGAGAAAGGGAACAGAGAAATGTTTTCATTCTATCTGTCACCCATAGATATGCCCTTTCTAGGTCAAGCCATCAGTCACCATTGACTATCAATAGCTATCACAGACCCCATTTCTGCAATTTTTTTTTGAGGGAATAGTAATGGAGTTCATGCTTGCTAGGTTGTCATTCTACTTATTGAATTATGTCTCCAACTTTGTTTCCCCCTATTTTGTCTCTTTCACTGGTTATATTTGATTTAGGGTCTCATGAACTATTCTGCCTGGGCTGGTCTTCGACTGTGATCCTTGCACTCTCAGTATCTTGCGTAGCATTATAAGTGTAAGCCAATATCTGGCTTCCATTCTGTGTGTGTGTGTGTGTGTGTGCGTGTGCGTGCACACACTCTGCCTGGCCTGGGTAGTATTCTTTTTTTTTTTTTGGTCGGTCGTGGGGCTTGAACTCTGGGCCTGGGCGCTGTCCCTCAGCTCTTCAGGTTAAGGCTAGTAGCACTCTACCATTTGAGCCACAGTGCCACTTCCAG